TCTCTCTTTTATATCGGACACATTCCAGTAACAAGTGTTAGACATCTTCAATTACTCCGCATGCATCACAATTTGGACTGCTTGTTTTCCTCATTAGGAAAACGAACTGGTTGAGAGGAATGTGTCCCGACCTAAATCTATGCGCAATTACAATAAATCTTCATATGAAGATGGCATTTGTTTTAGCTTAACCCCTTTAAAAAGTCACAGGTCAAAAATTGGTACCGGTGTTTCAGATTCGTTAAGATATTATCTACTGCAAATTTTTTAACAGCACGGTGTTTGAAACTATGGCTGTGTTTGATAACCAATTACCTACTGTTTTATGTCATTCACACTATCAAACCATTAGGAAGCTAAGATATTTGGAACTACACATCGCTCATCGGCCCCAGCTCTAAGTGCATATATCATTTGGAGTCCTACTGTGTCTATCCACTTGAAATTTTAAGCAAAAAACCCGCAGAAAAAAAATGTAGATGAATGTTGTAACGAAAGAAACCGTCAATATATTCATTTATTTATTAACTCTTTAATGCACACAAAACAAGGTATATAAGGCGGATTTAATGCCATATGGCATTTTCTCTCAATCAACCTTTGGGTTAAATATAGAGTCAGCGAAAATGGGCTTGTGTAGTATGCCAAAAAAATTATTATTATTACCAATACAGCGATGAAATAACAGTAAAATAAACTAATAATCGTATATTTAAAGTAAAGTAAAATGCGTCCACACGGAAATCTTTGTCGGCCTACCAAATAATACACAATACAAGTATGTTGATAAAAGATCAACTTTATCTTTATATAAATAGTAACCACAGTTGATTGTACGGGCCGTTTCTCAAAATTATTCCAAGGACTTGTGGAGCAGATGTCTGAAACCCATATCAACATCGAACCTAGATATTTATCTAGATAAAATAGGTTCTTCTTAGAAATCGGAATCAGAAAATAATCTACAAATACGGTATAATTTCCTTCCTTATTTGTAACGTTTATCTCATAATATTTGTCTGTTTGTAATATGTGTGAAGTGTCAATAAGTTAATAGGCTACTACTTTTCTCAACTGGTTTTTCTATTATAGAAACTTCGATGTATGTACGTCTATTGATAGAGTCTTCTTAAGAAATTGAGAATTGCGAGACAATAAAGATCACAATGTTGGAAAAGCGAAACATTTTAGATTGATCTAGAAACATCCGATGTATCTGCAAAATGTATGTATGTACGCACATAACTCTCGAATAACTGCACCAAATTTGATAATATCTTATTTGTCGTTTTCATACGGAACGGGCCACTAGTTAGTCATAAAGAATGAATGGTGGAAGGATGACTGGCAGAGAATACTTGTAGCATTAAGTCCTCCTTATTCAATTGTCTAAAACTTAAATAAATCTACAAAGAACTACTTCATCATCTAAATAATGATACAGCCACTTACACACGACATTACCATTGCAAAGACCACTTAAGGGCTTACTCTTAAATCCAATTTCGATCGATCGACATGGGTATTGTGAAATTTTGTACTCTCGAGTTGAAGCACTAGCGCCCATTGAATACGTATTGCGTGGATATTGAATGAACTAAATGGTATTGAGTTTGGCTTTATATTCCGTACTCTGAATGCTATTTTAACAGCTACGATAGGGGTTGTATAGTTTTGCCATTGAATAATTATTGAGATTTTATTGGTTTCAAATTGTATTGACATTGAGATTGGTTTCAAGAGTAAGCACCCAGATCGTACCCAACATCCGAAAAATGTCTCCAAACCCACAGTTATAATCATGGCACCCAACGTGACGTTCAATGTAGTACCTAATGAGCAGCCACGTGATAAACTTCGTGCCTCTCGAGTTAAACCTAATAACAACAATAAACACCTCTTCAATACTAATACTAACTATATCTTGTATTTAGATCCGAAGGTGTTGGTTAAATGCTGAGATTTGTTTTTGATATTAAAATCTATAAATTTTGGATAGACATGGCTTTGTGCATTCTTTTCTGTGTCACTTTTATGAACAAGTGCATATAAGTGAGAGGTACGTTATTATAGTCGCGAGGGTTCTTCTTTGAACCATAAGCTTAGCTTAGGTAAATAAATTATCTTTATCTTATCTTTTTTTTTTCTTAAGGGCGGAAAATCATCGAATGACTGCTCCCGCCTGGGTGAGGCGGAAGGGAGTGTCAGACTCTTACTGACTAAAAACCACCCCGTTCCTTCTCCTGCACGTCGAGCCGGAGCCCCGGTTACCCGTTAGGTTCTCCGCGACATCTTTATCTTATCTAGGTTGCGGTTGGTCTGAAGCTATTTTTAGACTTAACATATTTCTGAAAACTTCCCCAACAGTTACAACTGGTCAGTATGCCCAAAACAACTATAAGGTAATAAATAATATCTAACAAAGTGACTGACCGTCCACATATTTTTTGTAATACACTTTATTTTTCCTAAAGAATTTCCTCCTGACATATTTGACTTCCGTTATTTTATTTTTAACTGCGATCTTTGGACTTTTAACACAACAAACCATTTACCATTACACTAAATAATATTTATTGGTAACTTAAACGTACAATCTGTACATATTTGCTAATTAATTAGACGGAAAACTCACCCGACTGAATCTTCCTTTGTGTAAGAATTCCATTCTATATGAAGTGTTACGAAAACTGAGGTAAACTTAATACAAATGCGCAATACCAATAAAAAGATTTGCCTCACAGATAGTATTATCTTCAGAGTTGATCCCTTCATTGAGAATGTATTTATTTTTACACCGCGTGTAGCTAAGCTTAGCACGCCACGTCATATCAGGCGTTAATTTTAAATACATTATCTTTTTTTAGATAAAAAGATATTTATATATAAGGTATTTTAAATGACGCGTTTGCGAGAGGGGTGAAAAACCACTCTGACAGCGTAACGCAGTAAAATCCTTATCCTTACTAATATTATAAATCGGGAAGTGAGTTTCTTTGTTTGTTCCGCTTTAACGCCGTAACTACTGAACCGATTGCTTTGAATTTTTGCAGACGTAAAGTTAGAAGTCTGGATTAAATAATAGGGTACTTTTTATCCCGGAAAAATTTGGTATTCTCGAGGGAAAACGAAATTATTGGTATAGATGGCGCTGTGTGTATTGGTACATGTCACATAGGCTACTTTTTATCCTTTTGTGACGCGAGCGAAGCCGCGGGTAAATATCGAACTACGACTGATTCAAAAAATGTTTCAAAGTCGTCGTCATCATCGTTTTCGGACCAGCCACAAGACGCCCATTGCTGGACATAGACATAATGTCACTTAGAAATGTTTGAAGCACCAAAATGTCAGTAGTTTTTTATGTGTGCGTGTTTAACGTTACCAGATTTAAGAGAATAACGGATATCCTTCGTGTCAATGTGTGTGTAAGTCTATAGTAGCCAGGTGCCACCGTCGTTGTTTCAAGAGATTGTGTCCGCCTTCTTTTTCAACGTCCTTGGCTGATCTTTGGATCTTCTTGGTTCAATTAATCCATATAGACCGTGGGGCCATAAACTTCTATGTGATTCTCTAACAAATCTAGGCATTAGACTAGAAATTCTAATAAACCCATGCCAATCTAAAGCCAAAACCTTGAATGAAATAAAGTAAACAGCTACATTTTACATCACATATACGTCACAATCTTTGAAACGATAATAGTAAGCCCCTAAGCCTCGCTAACAACAATATAATCCCTCCATTCACGAAAATATTTTATTTTCGTACTCCGCAATTGATGTTCGCCGATACATGACAAGTGACGTCACAATACACTAGTTTGGAAATCGGAACGCGTTGCGTATCGTGACATCTTACTACGTTTATCAAATAAAAGTATTTGGCATAGGATTTAGAATATCCGTTCGGATTTTTTGCATTGTTTAGATGTTGATTGATTATGTTTTAGAGAACATACGTACATATTTTTGATATCAAAGGCCTACTAAATGTTCATGACGATTCGAGCGTAAAAAGATATAACAACAAGCTTTAGCAATTCCTGGAATGCATCAGAATACTATAAAGCACTTTGATGTATAATTATTATTTTTGTAGTCTTAGAAGGATCTTGTCTCATACAAGATCCTTCTTCTTTGTCTTTTTTGAACAAGCAGCTCTTCTACTCTGGATCTTATCGTGCAAAGAAAGCTCATTATAATGTTGTTAACTGCCTCCTAGAGAGTCCAATAAGAGCATAGGAGAAGTTTTCTAGGCTCTGGGAATGCGACGTAATAGTAATGTTCGTGAATACGCAAAACTGAACTCATCGACTACTCCAAAATATTACGAGAATTCAAAGACGTATTTTTTATAACAGCGTTTATTGTAACAGACGTCACTCATATAATATTGTAAGTTGTTTTCTTTGTTTATTGAAGCGTCGCTGGGCGGTGTGCACTAAGGAATGTATATCCTAGTATCGAAATGGCATCAAAGATATATAAAAATACTATTATATAAAAATATACAACTCGTATACGAACAATACACAATCAGAATTGGGTAATGGGCAATGACTTATGTCCATTCACTGCAAAAATTACCTACAAAAAAACCTGATATTTATGTAATTACTTTAAGTTCAACATAATGTTGTTCAAGTGTCAAGTTGAAGGCTTTTTTTGATTATTAAATTATATTATGTAATTAGTCATTTTCGAAGATAAAAAACCATAATTCTTATCTATTCATAACTTCTTTAACACCTTTGTTTTAGGATCTCTACAACGTGACCTTTCGATAGGTATAGCAGCCGGTCACAAAACTACGGTAATTTATTTCCTTCAGATGAACCTTAAACTTTTACAGAAGAAAATCTAATTCTACATCCAGATCACCGATTTACCGATAATCCTCAATTATACGATTGAAAAAATACCCCCCACAAGTAGTGGAATGGTCGATTCACTTGCATCGTATGTACGCTGGCATCACGTCGATCAATTACGTCTAAATTAGCGGCGTGGGCTCGCTGACCGCGGTACGTCGGCGCCGGCGCATCTCTACATATGAGACATAGCCAGAAGACTCATGATATATAATAATATGCATGTTTTATGATTCATAAATACTTCATGGAAGGTCGATGAAAATGCAGCTGGAATTGAAGTAGATTTAAAGAGGAATTGACAAAAAAATCAATTTCTAAGATAAGTCTATTCACTACTCATGCAAAAGTGTCGCAACATCGCCTTTTTTAGTAGTTAGTAGGAGGCTGACGACCAATACAGGCTACTTTATTCCTCTGATGACCACGAGAGTGATCCTTTGAAGGCTAGTTTTATATTATTATAAACATCCGCAATACAAGGAACCAGTTCTACACCAAAGCAAGTACTTTACTAGCATTTCATTTCTTCTGCTGTTCTGTACTTCTGACACTTCTGTATACTGACGCCGAATGTATGAGTACGTTTATGTGTAGAGTGTGTGTATAATTGTACACTACACCACAGTATAAACATATACAGTAGGTTGTCTAAGGCCGCCCGCCGAGTTATTAGCCTACTCTTGCGTTGATCCCCAGGGTTGTCACTTTTACTTTTAGTTAATATTTTCGAACAAGCAGCACTTGATCTAAATTTATGAAATGAAAAGCATATTATGATTGAATATTTTATCAATTTATAAATTTAGTAAAAATAAAAAGCTTATAAAAAGATTATTAACTTCTTAAAATAAACTTTAGCTCTATACATAGTATTCAGAAAGTAAATTTGGGAATACATTTATATGGAAAAATGCGACACGGCCACGCTCTTAACAAATCAGATAAACTGTGAAATAAACAATACAATACCACATTTTCTTATAATATTTAAGTATAGTAGGTAATTACATTTCTGGTTGAGTAGGAACTATGAAGAATGATAAGAGTAAGAATAAGTAAGTAGGTATCTCATCATCAAGTACCTACAAATTATATTATGCTAGAAAAAGTGACTAACTTACCTTTCCTGTTCAATAGGTACCTAATTTGAACAGAGACAGTTCTGGAATCAATTAATTATTAAGACACCCAAACACACAGCAATACGTTCTTCTACGATTATCAGACATTTTTTATTTCATTGAACAGTGCCGAAAAGCCGTGAAGCGCGCGCGAACCTCGTGCAGTGTTAGCCCTGCCTGGCGCACTGAGAAACGGGTCGAGATTTTGTTAAAGTGTGCGTGCGTCGACGCATAGATACTATGGCGCACACATATAAGCCGCGCGCGGAGCATTTGTATGAAGATAACCTACTTTGTTCTTTATACTATGACTACACACTACAGCGTAGCGCCAAATGTATTTATATAGATAAGTATGTACAGAACATTCATCAACGCATGTTTATATAGAAAAGTGTCGACGCACACTTGCGACTTTGTGATTAAAGCATAGTTTATAATGTCCATAGAAAAATGTTTAATTGTATTAATCGATTAATTTTAATAGACTGATTGTATAAATAAAAAGATAAACTCTTTAGCAGACTAACAAAAGCAGAACCTCCCTAGGTATACGAGTTTCAGAATCAAAAGATTAATATTTTAAAAATTATTATTATGAAATGATTTACTTACTTTGAAACGATTTCCAAAAAAGCTCATTAAAAGATTAAGATAACAACCTGCAATAATGCTGAAATTCAGTTTTAAAGAAACACTCGAACAATAAGTAAGTAACTCACTGAAAACACAATCTTCGTAAGACTTCGTTGCGACAAATAAGTCGCAGTCGCAAGTGTACAACAGTTGTAGCGGCGATAAGCCAAGAATGTTGGCTGCTTATGAATGGGCGGCCATTCATAGAATCGACGGACGACATTAGCAAAGAATGTATTGATTCAAACCGCTTCGCTACCCAGTTGCTCGTTTTACCAGGAATTCGATGTTTGATAACATCAAAATTATCGATTACATACCACGATTTATTAGCATCCGTATTTGAAATTTTAATAAAGAACTAGCTTCTGCCTGTGGCTTCGTACGCGCAATCCCCTTTTTCCCGTTTCCGTAGATTCTTTGGGAAATTCTTGGATAAAATGTATCCTATGTCCGTCTCCCGGTTCTAAGCTACCTTCCCACCAATTTTCATCCAATTCGATTTAGCCGTTCTTGAGTTATAAATGTTTTAACTAACAAGACTTTGTTTTATAAATAAAAGGTTAAATTCCTTAGGATCAAATCAACTAAGAGAAATTTATAGATCTGCTGTATTTTGTCTCTATTTCTATTTACGCGACTGTTCACTCACTATACGAGCAGGAGCCCCGGTTACCCGTTAGGTTCTCCGCGACACATAGACAGGTTAAAACAATTGAAACACTTTAACTATAATGTACAATTAATAAAATAAATTACCATTATAGATGAAAGAAATCTCAACATAGCGTTTGCTGTTCATAATCAAATAAAAGTCAATAACAAACATTTTTGTAACCTATCAATCCTTTCAACGACCTTGGAACACCAAAATAATTAGTATGCAGTTGTGTTCAATTGAGTACAGGAGCCATTAGCCCGGATGTACCTAAGTAAAATATTGTGGCGCCAAACTGTCAATATATCGTAAAACATTCATTAGTTATTCTACTATGCTCCCGGGACTTACAGATTATGGTCATACCAAATTACTTTATAATACGTGCATCGTTTTAATATGGACATTAAAGTATAATAATATCGTCCAATCGTGTAAGTTTATGTTTGCATTAAAACATTCGTGAGACATACTAAATTAATTATTATGTTTTCGGCTTACTCACGTAATTATTTGACGAGGAACTCGACTAGTTTCACGCCATGCTAGAGGCTCATATTCATGAGCAGCATTCCGCGACCAGCGACGCGGCTGTCACGCTGCTACCTGCTGGTGTCGAGTCGAGTTCCTCGTCAAACAGTTACGTGGGTAAGCCAGAAACATAATAATTAATTTAGTATGCTTATTTCAATACTTATATCTTCTCTTGCCGGAGCCGCGGAGAACTTAACGAGTTACCGGGTCTCCGGCTCGAAGTGCAGGAGAAGGAACGGGGTGGTTTTTAGTTAGTGATAGTCTGACACTACCTCCCACCTTACCCAGGAGGGAGAAGTAATTTGATGATTTTCCCCCCCATAAAAAAATCTTGTCTTGCCACTTGCCCTTATAGATTGACATTAAGGGTTTTCTCATAAAGTAGGTATAGGTACTTCAGAATGTACAAATGGAGCGAGCTGGTGGAATAAAGTTCAGAAGAATACAATACAAACGTATTGTACATACTTATGTGGGTTTGATTGTAAAACCTAGCTATCATATGCGACTTGAGCGGGTCGGTTTGACCCGGTAAGTATCACCCTCTCAAATAATACCAGATTTATTGCACATTTATTCTGATAACTAGCACTGAGATACTCACAACGCTACTCAACTTTAAGTCGCGTTTAAATATAGTTCTGTCGCTACAAATTCTTTGTATAATGACAGAGATGGCGCTATATTTAAGTACAATATAAAATTGAGAGTCTTTAAGTATTCTGGTGTAAGTGACAATAATTTAACTGCGCTATCATTTTCAGATTATTATAAGTGTAGTGTAGACATCATTTAAGCCGTTTGCGTAGCTTTGTGGTATAAATATATAATCATCAACCTGGTTCACTGTGTAGTCCAATAATAAATAATGTATCACTAACCTGTCCCCTCAAGTCAGGCTCGCTGTTAGCAGCCGGTAGTATGTCCGGCTGTCGACTAGCTCCACAAACATCGCCCGCACTGGCGCTCAGCGCCCGGCGCCGCTCCTCCTTCTCCCGCTCCCGATCCTTGCCTGATAGCATGTTCTTTGTCTTCGATATTATATTTAGAGGCTTCATTGATTTGCGTACCTGTGGAAACAATGGCAATGGAATTATCATCATGATATGGAATAATGGAATGGAATGCACAATTATGCATTCTTTTATTCCCGTTCCATTATTGCATACCTCGTTATCCAAGTCAAGGGGATTCAATTCCCACTTTAAGTAAATAATAAAATTTTCTATAATTCGTGAATAACAAGGTTAAATCAAAACATATATCTGTATTGAATTTAAAGGTGCGTAACGCCATCTATCTTTTCTTGATAACAACTTTGACGATGTTATTTACGTGACCATTCAAATGGGATATTATTGTTTGAACAAAACAAACAATATTTATAGCTATTTCATAAACACACATAACATTCAATGTATTATTAATAAGATGGATATTAGAAGACCATAACGCTTCTTAGACTACAAAACATCACAATAAAAAAAGAAAAGCAATATCTCACCTTGAATTTGATACTAGCGGGATGTACGAAATTATCATCATCCTTGTCTCTCACTGGAGGTGGATCTCTTAATCCCAAGACCAGCATATCATCAAGCGAGGCTTGCATATGTCTCCTGCGAGATGGTCTGGCTTCTTCATGGGACCTAGAAGAGTACATGGACACAGTGTCCATACTGGCTTTACTGGTCCCGCCAGATATCACCGTCTCATTCTCCACTGACTCCGTCGACTGCCACTCCGGAGGCTGTCGAGGCCTCTCCTCATAGATCTCCACCGAATTAAACGTTTCTGCCACTCTATCTATCTCCAGGTCCATGTCTAATTGCGGTGGAATGAACTCGTAATGGTGACCTTCTGTTTCAGTGTATACCTGATCATAAACTGCTCCATTCACATAGCCCGGGTTACCTCGAGAACTAGAGGGTATGTTCCCGTATAGATTATTGTAGTTATAGTTATCGTCTTCGTTTCGAGGACTCACGTGGCGGACGGTTTGAAGGTCATTCGCGTTGAGGATCACATCGTCCAGGTTCAAAGGTCTCCCCTGCCCTCCAAAGCCGTCTACGACAGGAGTCGTGTTTGACAGGAAGGACCCATCAGCTTCAAAACTACTACAACCGACAAGCCCGATTGGCCGTCGCGGCATATCTTGCCGAAATCTGTTCGGTGCCGGTTGTTGCCCAGCAAAATCAACCACTAAGATTCTATCTGCAATATTCCGACAATCGTTATGAAAGCCGATACCAGAGTCGCTGTTACTCGATGTAGTTGTTACTTCGCTGTGGTTGCTCGGTTGAGGAGAGTTAGCAACGAAATCCTGAGCTTCTACTCTCTCCTCGTGTCTACAAGGCCGTCTGTCTCGAGGCACGCGGAACACAGGTCTATTACATCTCGAAAAGTTACCCAATGCAGGACTATCTCCTTTTATCGTAAGTTTGGAGATCTGCTGCAAATTAGGGCTAGCGCAATCCTCTGCTGGTAAAGAATACATTCCTCTGATAACGCCAATAACATACTCTGCTGACGGTGGGAACTCCAGACATCTCTCGGCTACTGGGTCTCTCGTGCACACGATTTGGAATTCTCTAGCTCTAGCCGCATGGGCCTCGTGTTCTGCCATTCTGGGGTCCACCGCGAACACATGGCAACTGTGTGACGCTTCAGCCTCAGCAGTTTCAGCTGACGTCACGAGGCCGAAGTACCTTCTATCGGCGTCGGAACCACATCCCGCGTACACTATTCTTTCACGTTGATATTGTGCTAAAACTTGACCGGTTGGGCGACGAAGTACTAAAGAGTTTGGAAGGACAGATAGTAACACAGGTGCAGCAGGACGCCTCTCTTGTCGAAGTTTTCTCACGGCTGTTCGTACATTTCCAGGGGCAGCATTGGGAGCAGCTTGCGGTGTTTCTATGGTGCCGAGGTAGCCGACGACAGCGCGGCACTCAAGCCTGGCTGCGTGGTTGGGAGTTAGCTGGGCCCTGCTCAGGTTCTGAAGTATTTCGTTAACACCAGACGTACTCGGTGCTGCGTGACAGCCTGGAAATATGAATGAGAGGAATGTTGATTTATATCGTACATAATATTTTTTTGTAAACTGATAAGTATAATAAAACAAGTGCTAAATATAATATCATAGAAGTTAAAATATTAAAAGATTGCTTGCATACTATGAATACAAAAGTATGAATTGTAAATATTAACCACTATTAAGCATGAGTATCATGAAACCATGAAAATTATTTACCATTATGCAAGATATTTTACAAAAGCTTTTTAAAGTTGAAAAGATTAGCCTTATAATTTCATGATGAGCCAGTGACATGTAGAATGGCGGTATAATAATTTTGGGGCATCCCACTTTGCGCACCTAGATGAAGCGCACCCAGACGAAGCGCACCTAAAGTATTCCACTTTGCGCACCTGTAGGTGCCACAATATTGATATTTGTCCATGTTTTTATTGTAATTATGAAACAATCTGTGATTTTAAATACTAAGATAACAAAATCAAAATGACAAAAAATATTGTGTCACATTATTATAATGAAACTGACAGATGTTAGATATTTAAGTTAGTCTTTTAAATAATAAATATTTTCTTATATCGATATTTTTATTTCTTAGTCTCCGCACTATGCGAGTGAAATTCGTAGGTGCGCTTCGTGGAATAGAAAAACTATTTATTTAAAATTATTATTTTAAGCGCACCTACAGGTGCGCAAAGTGGAATACTTTAGGTGCGCTTCGTCTGGGTGCACTTCATTTAGGTGCGCAAAGTGGAATGCCCCATAATTTTATGATAGTCAATGAATATGAATACAATAAGAGAGAGAATAAACAGAATATTCACATGCATTGTCAGTTTTTATCACCAGAGAAACAATTACAAAGAACATGTGTTAGTTACAGCTTATCTACATTAAAAGAGAAAGGAATATAGAAATAAATCATAAATGAATTTGTTTGTCTTCTACTATTGTAACTGTTTGTTTTTCTTTTTTTGTTTTTTATTTTTTTATGTGCTTTTTCTACTTTTTCTGATATTGTAACTGTTTAATTCTTTTTAGTTTCTCTTTGTGTGTATGTAATTGGTGTTAAGTTAGCCTAGCAATAAAAAATAAAATAAATAAATGAATAATAAAACAAACATGTATTAATAAACATTGGAGAATTTTTATTTGCAAAGCAAGTCTGGAATTAAAATACTTCTATTTAAAACAGAATGTTGAGCAATCATAAGAAATCCACAAAGCATATTATTGGAATACATGAAATTTGTGTGAGAATAAATGTGGGAGAGCCATGCTTCGGCACGAACTTTACAGAACACCGACGTGAAGCAATGCTTGTATTGTGTTATGTTGTGTGAGTGAAGTTACTGGAGGCCCAATTAACCAATTGCCGGGCAAAATGTCAGAGGTTTGATTCCTGCATGAACCATCTCTTTGTGTGATCCACAAATTATTGTTTGCTGTTTGGGTCTCATGTATGTAAACTTATATGTTTGCAAACACACCCACAATACATGAGAAAATCTTAGTGTGAGGCAACATTACAAAAAAATATTTACCGCTGCCAACAAATATGTTAATAATATATATATACATATATAATACATGTTAATATCATTCTGCAAATGTGTTATGAGACATATATTCTCTATATAGAACATAATGCATGAGTGTATGAGTATCATCACAACATGTAAGTGCACAGTGCACAGTGCAAGCTACACACAACATTGCCAGTGACAACTATTTGTAATACACTCACGTAACTGTATACTGTTGTCTAGCCATCTGGAAAAATAGTAAATATCCAACATTATAGAAAGATAAAGATAATGTTCTCAAATTAATCTAAAGGAGTAATTGACAAACTGATGAATTACATAATTATAATTTTCCTGAAAAAGTTTAGTTATAAATTCTTGTTTAAGTAATATTTTTTAACAAATGGTTTGCTAATGTTTATTATTTGATAATAGAATCTACCACCTTGGCAAAGCTTAGTAAGAAAAATATTATCCCACCACATAAAACAACAAAGCAACAAGAAAAATTACTGTTAGCTTAATTTGTGTTTATTTATATGTATTTAAAAGTATACAGTAACAAACTAATTAAATAATTTGTAGTTTGCAACAAATTTTAACATACCAGGGTGATGCAGCATAGCTTGAGGCCTACGTCTGGGCGGAGGATGTCGCCTCCGAGTCCTCGCTCGCTCATCCGGCTCCGTATCCTCAGTGTCAGTAGGTGGTGCCTCACGAGGAGACACTGACAGAGCTATCGCTCCCGGTGCAGCAGCCACCAAACGCGCCACGGAGGCATGTGGAGCTCTAGCTACACTCGCCCCATCCACAGCCAACAGCGCATCCCCTGCACGTAGACCAGCGCGCTCTGCCGGCCCGCCAGCAGCCACAGCTGATACCACGCAAGGTCGCTGGCCTGCTATCGTAAAGCCGAAGCCCCCAACTCCACGCGCGACAACAACACGGCGCTCAGCTGTCCGAGCCAGAGCCGCACGGCGACGTCTTCTCCGTTGTTGCTGAGGCACCATCACAATAACTTCACAAACTTTTATTCTAACTAAAACAAACTCATTTCGGTTTTCTACGGATCAACACAATGATGATATTGAAGGAAAATAATAATTAAGTTCGTTAAAAGCAGACTTTTATTTTAGAAAACTAGAAAAACGAGAAATCTGAAAGTTTCGAGGCCTTTTGTAACTGACATTTAGAAAGTTTGAATGCGTTCCAAACTTTCAAAACTTTTGAGAAACTTTTTGAAAACTTTTAAGTTTTCATAAACTTGCAGAAACAAAAGTATTACTTTGAAAATTATAATGAAAAGTTGTATCTTATATACGATAAAAACGTTAAAATATCTATTAAATTCATCAATAATGTGAACAAGGAAAATGTAAACCCTTTTTTATGCTGACAATACTCAGGTCATTCATTTATTTTGCTTGCAACCTAACAGTTGAATTGTCAAAAACCTGTGTCAAAAGTAATAACCCACGTTGGTTTGTTATTTTCATACGAAAAAATATTTATTTACTGTTTTTACTGTATAAAAGTTATTAATACAAACTCTCAAAATGGCTGTAAGTATTTCTTCTAATTACCAATTAAGTTTCCTTAAAGATTTCACGTTCACATTTAAAAAGCATTCCTAACCAAAACACATTGTGAAATATTGAAAAACATGTTCTTGTTACAGAAAAAAGGTAAAATTAAGATTAGTAAGGTGAAAAGAAATAATCAGACTACGAATAAAATGCGGAAGAAGGGTCAACTGAAGCTGCAAAGACATAGAACGCACGTTCAAAAGCAGAAGCAACCAACACAGCAGCCCACTGTAGAATACAGCAGTGAAAGTGAGGCAGAATCTGAAGATCAGTTCGGAGACATGTTAGACGATGAAGAACAGCAGTACCTTATGAGTAGACTCTCCAAACAGCCTACTTTACTAGCTAATATACCAGAAAATGAAAAGCCAGGCAAAAGGTTTACTATCCAATTGTTATTCTTAAGATTTAATTTAAGACAACACTTACCTTTTTTAATTTATTGTAAATGATTGTATTGTGTGTACCAACCCCTAACAAGATCCACCAACTAAGAAACATTAAAAATGCTTAATAATACATTCAATTACAGATCAAGGAAGCGTAAAAGAGAAAAGAAAGAAAAGTTCCCAAAGCCAACTGTAGGTGGTGACAGTGACAGTGGTGCTGAGAGTGCTGGACTCTCAGACTCTGACAGTGATGTAGAGGGCAAGTATGAGAAAGAGCAAGCAGAGAGGCCGGCCAAGAAGATGAGGCCGTTGTTACCCATTAAAACTAAAGAGGGGCTAATGGAGAGGGCTGAGGAGTGTGAAGGTAAACAGAATTTATTCTTGTATATTAGCTATTGTGAGCAATAATTTATTATATGAGTTTTTCTTTTAATCTATTGGAATTGAAAAACTTAAATGTAAAGAAATTTGTGATACATGTCCTTTGCCAGGTCCAATCCATTTGGACTATTATTTGCTTCATTAACAAAAGAAGGGTTTATAATCCCCACTGACAATGATGATGACAATGATATGTACTTACTTTGCAGAGCAGACATTTCTTTTGCTTGATGTAAAGTAAAAAGTCTTTATGCATTCCAATTTATAAAACTAAGACCTTTATAACTTGTTCACAGACTCAGAATCAGAACAAGAGGAAGAAGCACAAAAACCTGCTAAAAGCAAACAAACAGACAAACAATCAGATGATGAGGACTCAGAGTCTGACTCCGGTATGGACCGCACAGAGGATGTGGAGATGGCAGGTGACAAGGAGAAGGTGGTGACTGCTGTGGAGCTGATGGCCGCAAGGAGAAACAAGCTGCAGCATGATAAACTGAGGATTGGAGCTCTATGCTCTTCTCTGCTTGAAAATCCAGAGAAAAAGGTATGTTAGGTTTAGTATCAAGTGCATCTAGTCTAGATTAACTAAAAATACAGTGAATCATCAGTGCAACTGTAAAATAAAGGAGTATTCACAGTGGTGTGAAATTCAATTAAATTATATTTTAAACGATTTATTTTAAAATTATTTTCTGTAGGGTCTTTAAAATGGCAGTGTGTTTTTCTGTATAGGTACCTTATTATTCATCATTAGATGCAGTAAATTTAATCACGAAACAAATATTTTTAATGCGAATTACTTGGGATAAAATATGTCTTGGGTGTCTTCAAGTCCCGAGTGAACAGGTTGCTCATAGGTAGGCGTATTCCTTCATCGGCCACAACATCGCTTACCACCAAGTAAGATGGTGACCAAACGTCGACCTATCAAGTATACAAAAAAACTTTAAATTCCAGTTACATTTTGCATAATTGTTATGTTATGAAATATGATGTAATCAAAACAAAAAGTATATAATATAAAAATAACATATTTTAAATCCTATTTTAGCTTAAAAACCTGTTTCCAATTCTCTACCTGATGGAAGATCGCCTGAAAGATGGGTCATTGAACCTCATCTCTGTTCGCAAACTGGCTACAGTGTCTGCATTTGAAGTGTTCAAGGATATTCTACCTGAGTACATGATAAGGCATCAAGATTACTCCAATATTAAATGTAAGTTTTCTATTATGTTTTTCCTTCATACTTCTTAGATTAATAGCTACAAAATTTCTAATGCATATAATTAATTCTCAATCTCAAATTCTTATACTCTTAACTTATACTTTTTTTTATTATCATAAGCTGAAGAATTTATTTGTTTGTTTGTCTGTTTGTCCGAATGTGTTAATATGTATCAGAGACATTGTAGAACATACTTTTTTAAAAAGAGTAACGAATGGAGTTTCTTGCTTGTTCTTCTTCATTCGAATCTACATTTTGGAATGAGCACCTAGCTTCACTGACGGACTGACTGATAGACTGTTATTTATTTTGTATTTGTTGATGTTTCAAAAGTACCAAATTATGGTTTAATTGAAATAAATGGTTTGACTTTAACTTTGATGGTCCATTTATCAAAGAAGGCTGTAGGCTATAAATATAAATCATCACGCTACGGTCGATAGGAACCGAGCAGAGCGGTGAAACCGAGCGGTTATTGTTAATAATAAAATATTTAACACATGTGTTATAATTTGTACAGTAAAGAAAGACACCTTGGCGCTGTATAAGTACGAGAAGGAGTTGCTAGAATTCTACAAAAGATACTTGCAGAGGTTAGAAAAGGCTGCTGGAGTGTTGCGTCGGAAAAAAGGAGATACCAGGTACCTATTTCTTCACATTTGTAGTTTAGAAATAAGAAATAACTATAATATATGACTCGAAATTGAATATAAAGACCATCTCTTTGGTCGAATGGTCGCAGCTGAATAAGAAGCTTCGGTGTAATGAAAGTACTCAGTAACAAAACATTCATAATTTTGACTGCACAGTTGGTGCGGTGGCTGGGCAACCGGCCGCCACGCAACGTGTCGCGGTTTCGATTCCCACACGGAACAACTCTTTGTGTGATCCACAAATTGTTGTTTCGGATCTGGGTTTCATATGTATGTAAACTTGTATGTTTGTAAACGAAACCACGACACAAGAGAAAATCATATTGTGGGCCAACATGTAAAAAAGATCTTTATATATATAATTCTTCTGTGAGTGTGTATGTCACTGAAATTCTCTCAAACGACTGGACCGATTTTGATGAAATTTTTTGTGTGTGTTCAAGAGGATCTGGGAATGGTTTAGATTCACAAATCAGCCCGGCAGATGGCGCTGTAGTCGATGTTTAGGTTATTTATCCTAAACAACTGAAATAATTTGAATAAATTTTTGTTTATACATTTAAGTGGATATGCAGGACAATATCTGTTGGGTTCGCTAGTATCATATAAAAAATAATTTCCCAGGAAAGTAGACGAGCCGACGCTGAGCCTGGCGCTGGTGTCGCTGCGCTGCCTGTGCGGGCTGCTGGTGGCGCGGCCGCAGTTCAACTACGCGACCAACGTGGCGCAGACCGTCGTGCCGCACCTCGACTGCAGGGACGCCCGGGCGCGCGCCGCCGTCACTGACTGCTGTACCAATGTCTTCGCTGAGGATACTAAAGGAGACATTACGCTTATTGTAAGTTCACACAGTTCTTTAGAAAGAAAGAAAAAACTTTGTTTCATTCTAAAAAACGTGTACAGATGATGATAACTATTGTGAGACATACAAAAGTAATAAAAGTTTTTAAAGAGATCAAGATCAAATCAACTGAGGATCTATGGGGACTATCGGTAAAAGTTTGCAAATCACTCATTCAAACTATAGCGCCATACTTGGCTGTGGTTTTCAATAAAAGTATTGATGACAATGTTTTCCCTGACCTAATGAAATATAGTAAAGTTATCCCACTATTTAAAAGTGGTGACACTAAAGAACCAAACAATTATAGGCCAGTATCTGTTTTGCCGGTTCTCAGCAAAGTGTTTGAAAAGTGCTGTCTCGGATGCTTCATCATTTTAATAAACATTCTATCTTTCACCAACAACAATACGGTTTTACTAAAGGTCGTTGTACAACTGACGCCGGTGTCACTTTAATGAAAGAAATATTTGGTGCTTGGGAGGAAGCACAAGATGCTATTGGTGTCTTTTGTGACCTCTCAAAAGCGTTCGATTGCGTTGACCACGAGACACTTTTGCTGAAATTAGATCACTACGGGATCAGAAACACCGCACTCTGTCTAATAAAGTCTTATTTAGAAGAAAGGCAATTTAACGTTCATGTTAACGGTATTAACTCGCAGGGCTCTAGGATGAATATGGGCGTTCCACAGGGTTCAATATTGGGTCCCTTTCTCTTTTTAGTCTATACATATAAATGATTTGCCATTTATATTCAAGAATGAACCAATAATGGTGCTTTTTGCAGATGATACTTCATTAATTTTCAAAATAGATCGATGTGCTAATAATCTCGACGACGTAAACAGCTTCATTCCTCGAGTGCAAAATTGTTTCACCATTAATAATCTAGCGCTTAATGAGAAAAAAAAAACAAATGTATTAAATTTAGTTTACCAAACGTCCGAAGTAATGATTGTGATGTTGTTTTGAACGGCCAAAAGTTAGAATTCGACGACGAGACGGTATTTTTAGACAATAGGCTACAATGGGGTCCGCATATAAAGGCGCTTTCGGGGAGATTAAGCTCAGCTGCTTTTGCAGTTAGACAGATTAGACAGCTCACGGACGTGGATACGGCAAGGCTTGTCTATTTTAGTTACTTTCACAGCATTATGTCGTACGGCATTTTGTTGTGGGGTCGAGCTGCAGAAATAGAAAATTTTTTTATTTTTTAAAAGCGGGCTATCCGAGCAATATATAACTTACGCCGTTGCGAATCGCTAAGAGAATTGTTTAAAACGATAAATATCTTAACGGTGTCGTTTTAATACTTATATGAAAATATAATGTATGTAAGAAAAAATAGGCAATTGTTCGAAAAAAGAAGCGATAGACGCAGTCTTAATACTAGAGGCAAGAATAAGTTAGCTGTACCGCAATTCAGACTGTCCAAGGTACAGAAATCCTTCATGGGGTTATGCGTTAAATGTTATAATAAAATACCAAGTAGCATACTAGATCTTAATGAAAGCAAATTTAAAACATATATCAAGCGCGAATTGTGTAAACAAGCTTACTACAGAGTGATTGATTATCTTGAGCATAGGAATGCTTGGCAGCATGTTGGTTCGGCTCCACTGGACAATACTCAAATGTAGTCAGTAGCTAAATTCCAATAGTAGGTATTTTAATACAAAATTTAACACTTTAATTCTAATGTAGACAATCTAGTTTCCTTATGGCATCGAGCATTTCTTTATTGAAACAAAGAGTTTCCTTTTCTTGTATAGAAGCACTAATTCTATGGATTGTCAATTATGGGTAATTTAATACTTTGATTTCGATGAAGGCTATTTTCTTGTAGCATCGAGCATTTATTTCTTTATTTAAACAATAGTTTTTTTTTTCTTGTATAGAAGCACTATTTTATAACGATTGTCAGTATACATAATGTAAGGACATGTCAAACTTAAGATATTTGTTTTCTCTTGGTTTTGTTTTTTTTATTTTAGTACGTTCTGTTATTTGTATGTTGCGTCAGGTATGTCTTTACATTATTCTCACATGTGTGTACAATATTGGAATATGTATCAGAGCAGTGTAAAACAGACTTTTTTTAAAAAGAGTAACGAATAGAGTTTCTTGCTCGTTCTTCTCCACTCGAATCGTTCAAACATTTTGGAACGAGCGCCTAGCTTCACTGACGGACTGACTGACAGACTATTATTTATTTCACATTTGTTGACGTTTCAAAAGTACCAAATTATGGTTTAATTGAAATAAATGCTTTTGAGTTTTGAGTTTGCGTTTCATGCTAAATTAACTAAAAATCGCGGGTTACTCATGTGCTATACTGAGAAAAGCTCTACTAGTTTCGAACCACAGAGGGGTACTTCCTCATGAGCATCGTGCTCGGTCTCGGCGACGTCGTTTTTCTCAGTTTTCTCAGTATATTCACATGAGTAACCCGCGAATTTTATTTAATGTACAGATGTGTTATTATAAGTATTATTGTGTTTATTTACGTTTTCCACACTGAAGAAGATTTACTTTTTCAATATTATCTTTTTTACATCATGTTGTATAAACATTATTTTAAAAAGTCAAAGTAAAAATCAAAGTCAATACATACAACAGTCTATGAATAACAAAACTATGCTCAATCAGACAAACAAATACCAGTTATACCAATAAATTTGAGCCTCACTAAAACTGCCTCGTTGGCCGAGTGGTCGCAACTGCGACTGCCGGGCAGGAGGTCTTGAATATTACTACTTTAAAAATTCTCAGTAGTAGCACGGAGTCTGGAAATGTGCCCGGTATATGGCAATACGCTCACCTCCTATTACATGGGACTCATAACATAAATAGTGAAAAGTGTCGTAATGTGCACATCTTACCCTTTCGGGGATAAAGGCGTGAAACAAGTGAATTTATTTCTGCAAATAGGCTACAAGGCAGTACTTTTAAACGTCAATTTTATCAAGCGAACGATGAGGTCGATGTGATATTATGTTATGTCACTATAACTATTCCATTGTGCACCATCAGCACTTATAAGGGGCCTTAGGTCATCTAAATGGACCAGCTGCAATCTGTGCCTTCTAATCCTATATCAACTTCATAGCAGTATACATTATTCCACTTCACAGGTAGTCCGTCTGATAAACCAGTTGGTAAAGCGTCGCAACGAGCGGCTGGATCCCTCGGCACTGGACTGTCTGCTCACCCTCAAGATACGAGACATCGACATGGACGCGGAGGCAGAGATCAAGCACAAGAAGAAACAAGAAGAGAAACACAAGAAGCGGATTGTTAACTTGTCTAAGAAGGAAAAGAAGGTACGGTTTTTATATTTTGTACGTTATTGGTGATTTATTTGTAGCTACTCTTTGCTGAGTCTTCTATATAGGTGACTTAAACTGTCAAACACCAAGCGGTCACCGGTGACCGCAACTTATTGTTCTTTAATTGTGTCTATAAATACGGTATTTGACGAGTTAAATGCTTTATGACTACCTTTATAAGTTCGGATATCTAAACTTTTATGATAATTTGATGATCCTCCTATCGACTATCAGGGAGTATCTTTATCAGAGCACCACAGATAGGGCCCAGTAGGGCTGATGCCCGATGCGGAGCCGCGTAGGACCTAACGGGTTACCAAAGCTCCGACTCGAAGAGCAGGTGTGTAAGAGTCTGACACTAGCTCCCTCTCGGCTTGGGTGAGCCTAAGGTGAGGAAAGTCTTCGAATGATCCTCCCCCTTTTGATTAAAAAAACAAGAAGGGTGTATCTTTAGGAAAACACAAACACAGCGATGGCCTTAACCTACGACCAGCCAATGAAATACAGGCAGATTAATCAATTACATATATAATTATTTAAGAATATTCTAACAAAATTCTAATTCAATTTACAGCGAGCGAAGAAGTTAAAAGAAGTGGAACGTGAGTTACTGGAGACGCAGGCGCAGGAGAGTGAGATGGCGCGACGGAAACAACTCACTGAGGTCACCAAGACTGTGTTCCACATCTACTTCCGGTTGTTGAAGACTGCGCCGCGGTCTAAGTTGTTAGCTGCAGCGCTTAATGGACTTGCTAAGTAAGTCGCATCAGGTTTTTCTATTTTAAACCAGAAGAGACCCATGTTAAGGAAGTGGAGAGATGTAAAAATATAAAAATTGATGACCCACTCGGGCCCCAATCGACGTTATAAGGGCTTGTCATAATCTTGGCAAGTGAATTGAAAATAACAGTTTAAAAGATTCGGGTTATCAGTGGATTTGTTTGCTCTTGCGACAACCGCGACAAGAGCAGAGGAAGTGACGAATGTATTCTTTCTATTCTGTCATCAAACATCAGTCAGCCAAATTAACTAAAAATAGCGGGTTACTCACGTGAATATACTGAGAAAAGCTCTACTAGTGTCCGACAGAGGGCGCGGGGGGCTCAAGGCGCTAGTAGCAACACCGAGGCGAGCGCCAGCCAGTGAGCTGTACACGTCGCCGCGACCGCGCACGATGCTCATGTGGAAGAACCCCTCTGTGGTTCGAAACTAGTCGAGCTTTTCTGAGTATATTGAGTAACCCGCGACTTTTAGTTAATTTAGTATGTCTTACGATAATTATTATAAAAATATGCAGTCAGCCATCTATCTATATCAATCTGATATATAAAAATGAATTGCTCTTCGTTAGTCTCGCTAAAACTCGATAATGGCTAAACCGATTTGGCTAATTTTGGTCTTCAAATGTTCGTGGAAGTCCTCCCTGGACTCCCACAAATTAATTTCTCTAATTTCAAGGTTTGAAAGGTGAGAGAAAAACATATTAGCCGGTACGGTACGGCCCAGGTTTCCTCACGATGTTTTCCTTCACCGTTTGTCAGTGGTGTCTAAATAATCTTAGAAAGTACATATAACTCGGAAAAAGTCACATTGGTACTTGCTGTTGCTAGGTTTCGAACCCGCACCCCCGTGCATGAGAAGCAGGCGTCTTCAACCTCTGGGCCACCACGACATTGTGTATAATATTATGTTAGTATAATATTAATTTGTAATTCTGTATGTTCCAGGTTCACGCACGTAATAAACTTAGAATACTACTCGGACCTAGTAGCGATCCTAGCGCGCCTAATATCGGACGAGTTGATAGGAGCGCGCGAGCGACTCCTGTGTGTCCGTACAGTGCTGGCCGTGCTGGCCGGCGCCGGGGACGCGCTCAATGTCGACCCTGCCAAGTTTCACGCCTATCTATACGTTTGCATGCTTAATTCCCATGCTGGTAAGTAATGTAATAGTACAAAAGTACTAGAATAAGACTAAAGAAAAATGATAAAGTGATTTCAAAGCTCTAGTGCTAGTTATGTCAACCTGCGTCGTTACTAGCTGTTGCCCGCGTCTTGATCCGCGTAGAATATGAATTTTAGAACATAACTCTCTTTGTGTTTAAGTTTTTCAAAATAAAAGAAGCCTATGTTAGTGGTACATCAACTACCTGCCAATCAAAGTGTTGCAAAATCGGTCCAGCCATTCCAGAGATTAGCCAGTACAAACAGACAGACAAACAAAAAATGTAAAAAGAAATATGTTGGTATTTGTATCAAAGTATATGCATGTAGTAAAAAGTGGTTATTTTAACTCGTCGAGTACCGGTTTTATAGACACAATTAAAGAACAATAGGTCGCGGTCACCGGTGACCGCTTGGTGTTTGACAGTTTAATATTACAACATAAATCATATCAATTAGAGTAAATGTATTTTTTTATTTCATTTCTAAACGACTGTTTTTAACAGTGCAATGTACTTGACTGACAGTAAAATATATTTTAAGTTTTCTATCTATTCCGAGCTAAATAGAACCTTTGAGCTCGACTCTTTTGGGGCACAACAATTTTAATTTGAATACATTTCCAGGAAGAACACAAGCAGACTCCAAGATCATCCTGGAGTCAGTGTCCCAGATCTGCGCGCGCGCCCGGCGCGTGTCGGCGGGCGTGCTGCAGGCGTTCGCCAAGCGAGCCGCCACCCTCGCCGCGCAGCTGCAGCACCACGCCGCGCTCGCCTGCATCGCGCTACTGCACCAACTCGCACAGGTGAATACTTTATACTTATTACAATTCAAACACAAACACTCCAGCTTCCACATTAGTTAAAAAATTAAAGATTTTGTTTATATTTGTATAGTTGATTTTTTATAATATCTGCTTTCATGTATCTATTAGTTATACTATTCTTCTCGATGCAACGCTAAATGGTGTTTGAGTAATAACTTAACAAAAGTGCATACCACTCATCTTTCGATAATAATCGATTCATCGATAATAATCGATTGAGATAATAGACCACTCATCTTTCCTATACTATGCATAAAGTTTTTTAACACTTGAATGATACTTAGCTCACTGGCTCACATAATAACATTTACAATTCAATCTCGTATTCCAGCAAAGTAAAGCAGTATCAATCCTGCTGGAAGCGGACAGCGAGGCGGGCGGGTCGGGCCGGTTCGACCCCGCGCTGGAGTCCCCGGAGCACTGCAACGCGCACGCGGCCGCGCTGTACGAGCTCAGCGTCCTGGCGCGCCACTACCACCCCACTGTACGGACCTCCGCCACGATGCTCTTGAAGGGAACCTTGCCGCCTGAACTTCATAAAATGTAAGTACTGTGTTACTATTGATGATTTGTTGAGATCGATGTTATTGTTTGACCTGATACCTGCCGCGTGTTTTCACCATCGACCTTCACGATAGCACATCCACCTTCATCATATAGATGGTTGAGAGACCAGAACTGTGCGCTTCTCTCGTAGCTTTTTGCCTCGCACAATAAAACTGTGGAATGATATGTCATCGACGGTATTTCCGAACCGATACGACCTTCAACCTTCAAGAAAAAAGCGTATTCCTTTTTAAAAGACCGGCAATGCACCTGTGGCTCCTCTGGTGTTGTGGGTGTCCATGGGTGTCGTTGATCGCTTACCATCAGGGGATCCGTCTGATCTATAGCCTCCTATTCTATAAAAACGTCCCTGTCCCACCCTGTGAAATCGTAAAATGAAACTATTATTAAAACCACAACAAGTGTTCGCATATAAAGCGTACCATCGTAATTTGTGATGTTATCAAATGATGCGCGAAGATTCAAATCTAAATTATGTAGTAATTATGTAGGTATTAAAGTAAATTCGTATTATTATTAAGTTGTAACCTGCTATAATCAACATGTTACATGTTTCGCTAATGATTCACTTCATTTATGAATAGATGTAAAATCTGCCCTCTTCTATATTTTGGTAAATCAAAATCACATTTCACTTTTTCAGGACGCCCTCACAAATATTCAAAGCATACGATGGCTCAGAGATGGCTTTCAAACCTTCGATACCTCCTCCAAAGAAAGGTGAAAACAAGACCAAGAAGATATCTAACGCACATGCGTGGGCGCAGCAATCATTCAAACAAATGTGTGAATCAGTAGAAAATAATGTTTCAATGGTCATCTCTAATGAAAGGTGAAATAATAAACTGTGCTGTTAGTAAAATTACAGGTTTTATTTTATTATCATAAATCTAATTATACATTTTGCCTCAATTATTTTATTACAATGAAATTATAATTATTTACAAATGCACTGCATCTTAATTCTGTGGGAATTCATCATGAAATGTGTACTTAAATTCAATGAACCTCTTCCAGAGAGGTCTGAACTTTATATTTGGTTCATGGGTCTGAATCACCAACAGTAAAGGTCATATACATAGTTAACATAATTAATAAAAGTCATATTATATTACTGACATAAAACTAAACCTATTTTTCATTACATCACTGTGCCAGCTTCTCATTCCACTGTTGTATGCTGTTGACAACAAGGTTGACTCTCTTCTCCCGCGCGGTGTCTAACACTCGCTTTGCTTCAGCACGCTGCGCTTCTATGTATTCTTGTAAAGCTGTTAATCTGGTGCGCCAACTGTAATATAATAAACAATTAATTTATTAGACAACTACTGAAAGCACTTGTTACCACTAGACTACATGCAGGCACTTTTGGAACATATAAAATAGAATAGTTCGTCAGTCTGTCCAGCAATAAAATTAGGTGCTTGATCTAAAATATAAATTCGTATGGAGAATTAAGATTATTCGTATGTGTCGTGGTGGCCCGGAAGTTTAAGACACCCGCTTCTCACGCATGAGGGTGCGGGTTCAAAACCTACCAACGGCAAGTATTATAAGCGTTAGTACTTAACGACGATAAGTGGTTTGTAACTGTAGGTAGTGTATTTCGTAAGGTTCAAGTCCTTAAATACAAAACTCAAAATAGAAATCTACTGTAATCTAAATGGTAAACTCACGCTTCATTCTGTTGCTCCCAGAACTGTAGTTCATTCTCAGTCCTATTGTACTCCTCCTGCTGCAGCTTGAGTTCCTCCATCCTTGCATTGAGTTCCCTGAGCTCTGCAGCAGTAGCGGCTACATCGTCCGCCTCCTTACTGGTCTCACTGTCCAACATGTCCTGTTCTCGTTGGACTGTTGTCTTCATCTCACGGATTTTTGCACGAGTTTCATCCTGGATAAAATTATTGTTAGATTTGCGAGCAGTTTTGTCTGTAGATAGTCAATCGATATGAATGTGGATAACTAAAAAAAAACTGTGGATGACTAGACTAAACCTCTTTGTGGTTCGAAACTAGTAGAGCTTTTCTCAGTATATTCACGTGAGTAACCCGCGATTTTTATTTAATTTAGTATGTCTCACAATAGTTATTATAAAAACAATGTGGATGACGTTAAGAAGTATGACAAAATCTTGATTGTTCTTAAATCTTAACTTTTGGCATTTCATAAAGAGACTATTACATATTTATATTACAAAAACTATTCGAAGTAAATAGAAGACAATACAAACCAGTAACGCAGCTCGTTTCCTAGCCAGTGCAGTTTTCTCCCTAGCGTGATGGTGCCTCCGCTGCGCGAGGCTGGCGGCCAGCACCTTCAGTGCTTCCAGCCCACAGCTCACTCGCACCGCGCACTCCGCACTCATCAGCTCTCTGGGAATAACGATATAATTTATTAGCACAAGCCTTTAGTCTAGCAGAAGTTCAATATTACTGCTTTGAGGAGTATTAAAGTAAATGCAAGTATTTGGAAAGTATTACTTGATTTGTACTTACTTTTCATCAATAGCCAGTGAAACGAGGTCAGGGAACTGTGCAGATAGATGAATGAGTCCCTGTTTATACTCCACACAGCTGTCCAGGGTCTTCTTCTGCCACAGAGCTAACTCCGTTTCTTTGGTGAGGACCATCTAAGAATAAAATTACATAACATTACGCCTTTTATCCCCGAAGGGGTAGGCAGAGGTGCACATTATGCCACTGTACAATGTAACACCCACTTTTCACTATTTATGTTATAAGTCCCATGTAATAGGGGGTGAGCCTATTGCCATATACCGGGCACAATACCAGACTCCATGCTACTATTGAAAATTTTTAAAAACCCCAGTAATACTTTGCTCGACCCGGGAATCGAACCCGAGACCCCTTGCCCGGCAGTCGCACTTGCGACCACTCGGCCAACGAGGCAGTCAATTAACGAATAAAATTAATGAATTTGAATCACAAGTTAGAAAGGATTTCAAAAGGAACTAATCAACAAAGGTTCCTCCATCTCTTATATTTTTCAGAACAGATTTTCTACTAATACTTTGTTCTCTTTAGCAAGGGTAAGTTTTTGTAGTGTTGAGTTTATTTGTACCTTTCCAATTTGTTCAGCAAGTGATCGCTTGGAGTCTTGCACCCTGAGAGCGTAGTCTACTTCATCCAACAACTTGGTGCGCTGCTCCACACTCAATGGCTGGGACTCCAACTCCTGCTTCAACTGCTGACTCTCTGCACTGTTTTATTTAAAAATATAAATCGAATAAGTTTATTGATGTTTTCGGTGGTTCTGGCAACGCAAGTACCGATAGCAAATGAGTTAAAATTCGTAGAAAAAGGTTTACTTTATTTCTTTTGCAAACATACACTCTGGATTTGTCCAGCAATGTAAGAAGAGATTGGTTATTTATTGGACTGCATTTGTAAGGGGTATGCAAGAATCGTGTCATTTGGTGTTCCATTGTCTCTGCCTACCCCAGACAGTAGACAGGCGTGACAATAAGTAGGTATGTATTATGTAAAATGGTTACTCACGTAGCTCTCTCAATCTCAGTATCAAGTTGTTTGATGGCGTCCACGTAATCAGTTTTGAGAGTGCTCTGTGCTTCGTAGTCGGCGCGGTTGGCTCGGCGCGCCGCCTTCAACGCTCGCAGGCCTCCCAGTAACGCTTCACGGCGCTCCGCACGTCTTGCTTCGTCTGCACGAGCTGCTGCTTCGACTTCATCTTCTAGGCAAGTCTCGTATTCTGTGAAGAATATAAATATATCGTCTTCATTCAGTACCTATATCACGTTTTCATTGTATCAGTCCATACAATTATGTGAAGTTATAAAAGTGTATCTAAAAATAGTCTTGCAGAAAGATCAGGATCATCAATAACAATACAATACTGAAATAAGTGCTTGAGACTATTCTCTTACTTTTGATGATCTGTTTTAGCTCTGCAATCTTTTCCTCATCATTGCCAAGAAGGATCTTCAGATTCTGCAAGTACTCTTCATCTAAGTCTGCAAACTGATGACCTGGTTCTTGGAACCTGTAGAAAAAGGGCAGTGTGAACACAAATTTTTAAAACATGAACTGTTCATTGATCATTTGGTATAGTTACCACTTACCTGATCCAGCATTTGTACAGGTAGTCTCTGCGAAGACACGCAAACTCATCTTTTCCAACATATAGTGTGTCATCAGATATTGGCATTTCCTGTAAAAATACAGTTCAGTTATAAAAAAAAAATATTTAAACTAGAAAGAAGAATATTATAGCAGTAACTAGCTATTCAGTCGCTCATTAGTTCTCTATTTCCATTGAGGCAAATTGCATAATAAAATAAAAATCCATTCTTTCTTTGTTCATTGCCGATAGTCTGCGCATACTTTATTTTTTTTGTATAGGTACTAAATGTACATAAATACTCACAATATGGTTGACAAGGTCTAATAAATACGCAATGAGCGCTAAAGCATGTGGGAACGCGTGGAGAGTGTTCACTGTCTTCAGCCAGGACTTGGAGACTGTGCCCGGGTACAAGAGGCGCTTCGATAGATGTGGGAGCTGGTGGAAATAGATAATACACATGTGTAATTTAAAGAACCATGATTACGGAAATTATACATTTACTTTATAAACTAGTGAATAATTAATGAAATGTAATAAAAATAATCATTGAATTTTATACCTTAGTAACATAATTATCAGTATTGAGCTTAGTATCCCTAGTTATAGCAGAGAGCAATGCTGAGGCGATGTCCACAAAGCGTGCGATGGTAAGCGGCCGTATGAGCGCCATGGCGGGCGCCGCGCCGCCGCCGCCGCGCGCCGACAGCGCGTCGCCCACGCGGCTGCACTCCGCGCGCTGCCATGCTACTGCTGAGATAGGTCTGTAGAGAATATGTAACATATTTTTTAACTTGATGCTTGAGAAAAACAAACAATAATGTATATTTTTTTTAACTTTATAGTGTAGTGACAATAATATTGTTTAGTAAATTAGTTTAGTGTACTTTCATATTATTATACAAGATGACAATAAAGTTATTTAAATATTTTATACCTCTGATCCTTGATGGTAACAAAAGCCAAAGCTCTGTCTAGAGACGTTTGCCAGTTCCTGCTTGCTCGATCTTCTGATGGTGTTCGCTGTATATATTAATTAATTAATTATTAATAATCGGATAAGTCGGATGAAGTTCTAGAATGTGTGTGAAAAATTATAAAGCTAAATATTTACAACAGGTGTAGTAGTCGGTCTGGCTGCATACTGGCTGGACCTCAGTGGTGTCATGGAAGATTGGCCAAACCTATCAGCTTGCTGAGATCGGGATCTCTGTGAATATCAAATCAATACTAGTTAGGTGTTGAGATTTGGATATGTTAATTAAAATAAAAAATAAATTGATTAACTTAGTTACAATATTCGGAACTAAGCTCATTGTTACTACTAGTTGATTTTAGTGATTTATTACACAGTATTTAATTGATTACAATAAACACTTACTCCATTCAAAGGTAACTTAGTAGCAGAAGCCTCTCTGCTAAGTCTGCCGGCTCCAAACGTTCCTCTAGCAGGCTCCGCACTGCTGGATCGATGACCTGCAGTACTAGGACGCCGAGCTTCCGTTGATAGTCGGTCCGTAGATCCAGGACGCCGTGGTTTAGGCAGTAAGGACACTTTTCCTTCAAGCCTTCGTACCAAAAGATATTACAACGTTAAATTCGGACTTAGTAATATTTATTAGTTAACCAACAATATTAAATGATACCAATAGGAAGATATTTGACTAACAAGTTTGTTAAATTTACGAAGAAACAACAACAAAATCAAATAAGACTTATTAGACGTACCTTGACTTCCGTAGTGCACTGGATTGGCCAGGAATATATCTATTAGGATTCATTTTTAAACAGAGTTATGAAAAGAATTAACCATGTAAAGAAAAGTAATTCTTTTATTTATTTTTAACTCCACTTTTTCCACAATCACAACAAATCGGACAGTTCCCGTTTGAAATTCAAAATTCAAAACAGACAATGTCACAGATAATAAAAGTCTAATCGACGCGTTCCTCGAGAAAATTTTTGTAAGTGATTATTTTTATAGAAATGTGTTTATTGTTGTGGCACAATCTCGTTGTTAATAATTTTTTCAGCTTCAAATACTAATTGAGGAAAAGTGGGATCCATTAAACACGATTTAATGAAATTATTAAAACTGTTTGGTACAGTCAACGAACTGGTTCCATGATCTGGAAAATAAAATTATTGAGAATGATGATAATTTTAGCATTTATAGCTTGCTACTTAAACTTTAAATTAGTAACGTATCTTTATTTACTTACGTTTATTTTCTAAAGCATGTTTTAAGACATCGTCTATATTGCGGTACTTAGCGTTAATAACATTAACTTGCATATTACTATGGCTTATTACTGGAAAATGCTGACCAAGCAACTGAAGACACTGTACTAAATTAGATTTTATTTGAAATTTTATTTTTCTTATCTAAAACAACGTGAAAGCAAATATTTAATTAAAGAGCACATACTGCTTGTTTTAAAAGAGAGAACAACATAGACTATCCTTTACTGTAACTTTATGAAAAAAACTTATACCATTTTATTAAACCCTTACTTACTTCCTTTGAAATACTGTTGACGATTAGAATTAGAACGTCTTCTTTATAAATTCCTTTAATTTTATGGTGCATATTAAATGACTCTAATATTTTCGAGTCAGCTGATATTATGAGCTGATCGAAATGAATTCGGAGAAAAACATTACTTAGTTTTGAATCATATTTTTGCCAACTTCCTTTCCATAACATTAATTTATCGATTGGAGTTGCCCATGAATCTAAAACAAACAAAAAGTAACGACAGACATTACATTTTTAAGTTAAGGCACTCATATCGTCCAATTTTATAACTTACGTGTATTCTTCAACTTGTTATTAGTTGTTTTAGACATTTTTCAACAAATACACTGAAATAACAGGAAATTATTTCTACGATTTCCCGCCTTTTGAATATGAATGAAATGTGCGATTTTTTTAATGTAGCTTCAATAGCTTATATGTCATTCCGTTTTACTTTGACATATTTGACACACACACACTGGCACTGACAATTTGACAAATCAACAAATTATTACGAATGACATTGTTTTGGATTAATAGGAAACACCTACAAAATATAATAATTTCTCCATGAAATACACCGTTATAAGAAAGTAATTTATCAGAAGAACAATGTCAGCTGGAACTTATTATTTTGTTATTGTCGGGCATTCCGACAACCCAATATTTGAAATGGATTTCATCCCTGTGACTAAAGAACCGAAGGTATTTATCATAGTTTTTGCAGTGTGAAACAATTACGGATATTATTTTGATAATTAATCATCATACAGTTCCACCTATTGCATAATAACGAATAGTATCTATAACTTATTGACATATTCCAGAAAGAGGACAACAGGCATTTGAATCAGTTTATAGCCCATGCAGCACTTGACCTAGTAGATGAGCATATGTGGAAGGTGACCAATACTTACTTGAAGTCTGTGGACAAGTTCAATCAATGGTTTGTCTCAGCATTCGTGACTGCAAGCCAGGTAAGCAGTATGAACTTGTATCATTGCCTCATTTTAGAGAAAGTAATTTCTCATTGAAATTGTTATCTTCCAATTTTAAAACTTTGTTGGAGGTTCTGATATTGTATGTAATACTTATAAATCTTGTACATAGGTAATTTAGGCTTCTTGAAATAAAATATTAATACTATTCTTAGTAGAAAAGTATCAAACTCCAACTCAATTTTGATTTATTTATTTCAGATGAGATTCATAATGGTCCATGATGCTCGCAATGAGGATAGCATTAAGAATTTCTTCACAGATGTTTATGAAGCTTACATAAAGTTGATGCTAAATCCATTTTACAAAGAAGACACATTGATCACATTGCCTGCTTTTGAGAAAAAGGTTCAGTTTCTAGGTAAAAAATATTTAACATAAGCAAGATTGTTAGTTATTATTTTAATTAAAGAGTAATGCAAAACATGTTACATGGAACAAAAGGTGTATGAAACATTATTATTTAGTGATTCAATATTGTGTCATTTGACCACTCATAATGAGGTCACTTTTTTGAATTGACCCTAACTTTATGTAAGCAATGCTAGTTGATATTTAAGTTTCATGTCATGTAAGTGTATCAATATAAGTTAAAAGCAAAGATGTAAATATTTAAAATACAAATAAAATAACTATTATTATTATAAAAATACTTTATTTTAACTCAATTTAAGAAATGTCCCAAAACTTCATACAAAAATAGCAAGTAGAAAGTTTGACAGCATAATAAAACAAATCATGACTATCTGAATCACAAGTCACATATTACAGAAAATTCTCATGTAATAAGTTCCAGCAAGAATATTATCAAGCAGTATATATAAGACTACGCATACAGTACAAGTTATCACATTATCTTGTAAACCAAAGGGGATGACATTTCAATCTTGGATTTAATAATTTCTTATCCTCTTGTCTGTTGAAAGTTGAGGCCACAATGTGTTTTATACTGGAAGCCGGTGTTTCAATAGATAAGAGGATAATCCAGATTTATGCAAACCTCTTTCTTATAATAAATAAATGTTTAGTATTCTATTTCTAATATAAGTAATGAAAAGGAGACTCAAAGGGAAAGTAACTTCAATGCAAATCTTTTATATTTTGTAATAATTTTAAACTCTAATAAAGGCTGTAGAATTAAGCCAACGATACACTAGGGGGCAAATTGCCCAAGACATATTATATCGGCGATATCAAAGAGTATAATAAGTATAGTCGAGTTGTGTCAAGCGAAGCCGGCCAATGTCGCCTGACATAGGTATACGGTGACAACACGCGACTTATGTGCACAGTGACGTTGATTATGAGTTATTATGGGTGATCCAAGTCCGGCAACGTCGCGCTACTTCATCCGACGTCACTGGCGACACATGTCGCAGGACATTATTTTGTCCCCTAGTTTGTGTATGGCTTTAGTTTTTTGTTGTTCATCCCCATTGACTAGTATATCAATAAATATAAGCAGCATTATTAATTTCTTGTATTCAGGCTTATTCTTGCCAATTTGACTTCCTTGTTAGCTTTTAGCAAACATTTTATGGCCGATGTTTCCAACGCCAGTTAAATTTAAACCGACATATAACATTGAATATTTTGGCAATTATTCTTCCATACTAAAAACTGTCGAATGTCAATTTTATTCTACAGTTAAGAATTAACTGATTATTGTAAAATCGGCCCTCAATGTCTGTGTAAACAAAGACCTATTTCATTAAAATATTCTCAAACATATTTTGCATACCTAAACTCTAGATCGCTCTTGCATATAAATTCATGGAAGTAGAATATACAATCACACTCTTCATAAATACTAGTAATAAAACTACTTCAGTAAATAAAACTTTCCACAGTAATGTTATTGTGGAACAATTTTAAATACTCAACTCCTTTAAACCATTGAGAGTAAATTAATAAAACAGGTCTCTTTCAAAACTATTTAATTGCATTGTAAGTCAAACTATTTGCACACTTGAACCATCAATATCATTGATGATCAATCACTATAAATAGGTAATACAGTTAACATAATAGCTCATAGCCTAATCTAAGTAGAGTAATCTAAATGTTTTATTAATAGAGGTCAGGAAGATCCAGGTCATCATCAGGGATGCTGCCAGTTGAAAAATCGTCTGAAAAAAAGAAATCAATTGCATATAAAGAGGTTGCATTAAAACAGTATTTATTCATTTTTTAAAATGAATATTGTGAATCATCATATCAATACTGAATTAATTAAACATACAAGTTACATTAACATATTGAGAAAAGTTCTACTGGTTTCGAGACATGTAGGAACTCTTTCTCAGGAGCAGCGTCTGGCTGCCCAACACGCAGTGACCGTACATGTTAGTAGAGCTTTTCTCAGTTTATTTACATGAGTAATTTGTATTTTTGAATTTTAGTTAATTCAGTATTTATTCAATTATGAGTTAATAATTTCACTTTTAGAGCTTGGTTAGCAGTGCGCATGTGGTTATAAAAAAGTCTCACATGATGTCATCATGATGTTATCAACTATTAACAAAATTGTGTACCTATGTAAAATTGTTCAACCAGTGTGTGTACTGGTCTAGATTTAGTTCATTCATACAATATCAACTTGGGAGACACAAACTGCAGTAAAACTCACCTTTAAAGAATTCATCCTGGTATGAGCAGTTAAACTCAATGCTGTGCCTCTTTATGGCTGGTGGAGGAGTGTTGGGTGGAGAGAACTGCTTCAAGATCTCGGGCTCCGGTATAGGTAAGTAGTCAAACAGATCTCTCTGATGATTGTCTGTGGAACCCATTTATGGAAGAAATATAATTCAGATTGGTTGATAGGAATAAATGTTTAACAATAGTTACTGTAAAAATAGATTCTGGTTTATTTAATACAGAATTCATTGTTGAGGCGAAAGAGGAAAAGAAAGCTTTTATTGTTGTTATTAGATCCTAAAAGACAAAAAAACTGCAAATAATAAAAAAGTAGTGAAAAAAGATAAATATTAGTATTTCTATGCTTACCATACTTATAGGAAGGTCTATGGAACTCAATATCCTCTCCACAGAGTTGGTTCCCATTGTTCTCATCACTGTATATCATGGAGCCCACATTTACTGCTCTGGGAGTGAACACATTCCTCACAGGAGTGTTTTTCAAAGCCTTCCCAGTGTTTGAAAGAAAGGATTTCTTTGGCCCTTCAGACTTCTTCACAGGCTCATTAGGCTTCACTGGGCCAGCAGACACAGTTTTGCCCATATTTTCTAAAAAGGACAAAAAATACATTGTCTGCATTCATTTTTGGTGGCCTACCCCCATTCATCCCATTGTCTCTTCTAACAGCAGAAACTGCCTTAGAAAGAGTTGTAATACAACTTTTCAACAGTTTTCCAGATAACTTAGTATATAACTGTATTTTCATGCAAGTAAACAGGTTAGTAATCGTTTTATATATCAATTTCTTACCAATATTTGATAAAGGTTGGCGCGAAACATTTTTCACCGCTTGTCTGGTGAGGTGGTCACCAAAAATATCAAATAGTGACTCGGCCATGTCGTCAAGGTATAAAACAACAAACTTTTGAGGCTCTTAAATTTTCAGAAATCCAACGAAACAGTATGAAACATGCACAAACAAACAAATTCGTTGAACACCAACCAAACGGTTTTTTGAGCAATTTTTGTTTTTTTACCGGACAACATCAACTGTCATTCTGTCAAGTTTGCATTACGGTCTTTTTAGGTCAAATTTCTTGTACAAAATATGTTTTTCAATCAATTTTATACTATTACCAAGTAATAAAATCATCATGCTTAATCAATTGAACAGGAGAATACTTGAAAAGAAAGCATTTTTTCTTTCAGTTTTGGATTCAATGGTTTCTAAACATAAAACCATGCCCAGCCTCAAGTTGACATATTATTGTGAGACTGTCAGTGTCAGAGTTCTTTGACAATAATTGATTGACAAGACAATTCATTATTTCAAAACAAACTTACGGACTCACGCGTATTTATCAGAAATTACTTTAAATCGCATTTTATAGTTTGTTAGTCATTAAATATCGTTGAAATGGCTGATGATAAGTCGTCTAAGACGAATGGAGTCGGTTCTGATCCCCTGCAACGCCTGGCTTCGTTCAAACCACCCCGTGATCTGACCCTCGGTGGAATTAAAACCAACAAAAAAGTATTCACACCTAATTTGAACGTAATCAGGAATAAAAACAAAGGGTAAGTAAATACATTGTCTGTATATATTTATATCACATACTTTTGGATTAAAATTTGAATCTTTATAAGCATGTGGGTATAAGTGGCCATTAACTATCTCAAAGGGCTTTGTTCAATGTTAGCTTTGTTTTATGTTAATTTTTGATTCAGTAAATGTATATTTAAGTCTCTTTATAAAGCTAGAAGTATAGTACTTTATCATGAACCTAATTTTTAACCCATTTGATGGACAAAATAGTAAGATAATTTCTATGAAAAAAATAACACATGTTTTCTATGCACTAATTAGTTTACATCAAATATTAACAACCTATTTATTTTGATGCAAAATTTTCTAAGTCCTAAACTTGCACACCCTTTGCTACACTCCAACCCCTATTTATAACATCTACTATATTTCCATGTTGAAATAATATTTCAGTGCACCTAAACCACCACAGAACCAGAAGAAAGATGATAAAGACAAAAAGGACAGGAGAAATGACAGAAATAAGAACTTCAAAAATGGACCTAACATTATTAAATCCAGTGGAGTTTTCTCAGAAGGTAATGATTACTTTAAAATAGGTATTGATAATTATCATCATTATTATAAACCAGATGACATCCGTTGCTAAACAAAAGCGAGACATTATAAAAAAAAATGAGTTGTTCCACACTTGGATTATCTCCTGTGTCCTGGGTGCGTTTACAAACATACAAGTTCACATACACATGACACCCAGACCCGAAACAACAATTTGTGGATCACACAGTGTTGTCTCGTGTGGGAATCGAAACCGCGACACGTTGCACGGCAGCCGGTTGCCCAGCCACTGCACCAACCGTGCAGTCGGCTGTGTTGCTCATAAGAATACCATTCATAAAAGGAATCCAGAGAGTGAATAAATGAAATGCAGACTGCATCCTACCAACCAAGACAGGAGGCCTATGTTCCACCGCATATTTCTTGTGGTGGCATTCTGATATTATAATGATGTTAACTAAAATCGCGGGTTACTCACGTGAATATACTGAGAAATGCTCTACTAGTTTCGACGGCACACGCTGCTCATGAGGAAGAACCCCTGTGTAATTCGTAACTAGTAGAGCTTTTCTCAGTATATTCACATGAGTAACAGGCGATTTTAGTTAATTTAGTATATCTCACGATATTTATTATAAAATGATGTTGTTGCCATAAACCGCAAACTAAATTAATTTAAAATTAATGTTTTTCCAGGACTAGGCAGTGCTGAGAGACATTCATCGCGAGTGTCATATGGCAGAGATACGGATACAGTCCAAACTATGCAGAAACCTACCATTAGAGTTAAGGATGTTATAAAGGTAAGATATGACATCTAGAATACTAGGCTATGATCAAATTGCAAATCTGTATAATCATTTACATACATACATACATACATAACATTACGCCTTTTATCCCCGAAGGGGTAGGCAGAGGTGCACATTACGGCACTTAACGCCACTGTTAAATGTAACACCCACTTTACACTATTTATGTTATGAGTCCCATGTAATAGGGGGTGAGCCTATTGCCATATACCAGGCACAATTCCAGACTCCCTGCTACTACTGAGTATTTAAAAAACCCAGTAATACTTTGCCCGACCCGAGAATCGAGCGCGAGACCCCTTGCTCGGCACTTGCGACCACTCGTCCAATGAGGCAGTCCTGTGGTCCTGTATAATCATTTGATATTCATATTTCATCATTGCAATTATTGCTATGTACACTTATTATGCAACGAAATTATTATTAATTAAATTGGCCTTCTTGTTATCAAAATGATGTTATTCATCTTCTACTGCTACACTTTGGAACAAGCAAAGAGTTTCACTACCGAACTGACCAACAATTCTATCACTTTATCAACAGTGAAAATTTTGTTTTGATTTTCAGATCGATAAAGAATTAGAGGAACAAAAAATTAAGTCAGTGCTAGGAGAGAACGGTAATTTGGGTGACGATGACAGCGGCGAGGACTTTAAACAAATCCATGAGACGGACGCACCTATCAAGCTGCCCATGGATGATGGTGGTAAGTAGAACATGGAGTATTACGTAGGTATACGTAGAATACATGCATGTTTGTTTGTATGTAGGATATGAGTATGAATATAATGAAAGTTTATATTTAACAGCAATTTTATGTAAACAATTTTTTTATTTACATTGGTCTCCAAAAATATTGTTTGGATTAGTTGAAACAAGTTGCTAAATTCTGAAAGTATAATTTTATGTATCTACTGTTTCTTTTTACTAAGGTCTTTTGGCTAATCTGATACATTTATGATAAATGGTATTTATGATGATGATTCAAATTTCATATTATGTTTTAATTTAATGTAATTTTATAGATTTTAAAAAGTTTTATGAAAATATGTCTATTTCTAATTCCTTACATTTCAATTGTAAGTATATTATGTATTTCGGATTTACCTAATTTTCTACCATTTTAATAGGTTTCAGCAGGTTAAGGACTGAATAATATTAAATTAATTATGGTTAATGGTGAACGTAATTGTTTGACGAGGGACGCGGCGTCACAGTGCTGCTCATGAATATGGGCCGCCATTGTGGCTTGAAACTAGTCGAGTCACCTTGACAAACACTTACATAAACAAACCATTAACAATAATTAATTGAATATGTCTCATGAGGGTTGTAATACTAAATGGTGTTGTTCATAGGATGGTCGAAAAAACCGTCACTGAAAATTAAACAGGAGGTGATTGTGAAGCGGGAACCCGAGGATGCAGTCGACAGTGGTATACATTACTGTAGAACCATGATTTATGCTGTCTCGGATATTGCAATATTTTAAAATCTCATTTCATTCAATATCATATCCACAAGACATTACTGCTGAACATAGGCATATCACATCACTTTCAAATCTACCATATACATAGTTACTTTACAAAATATTTTTCTGAGCTTAAAATTTTTCAGCTATATCCGAGTTCCGCATAAGTCTGGTTATTATTCGTGGTATTTACACTTGCAGCTCTGTATCGCCGTGGGAACTGTTTCCGTCGGCTAAAGGAGTGGCTACATTGACAGCGGATATATTTAATCTCTATAAGCTAGCCTCAATATCTGTCTGCTGGGTAGATTTGGCCACAAGGCCAAAATTGATGTGAAGTGTTTGTATACGAACTATAATGTAGTTTTGTAACCATATGGGTAATTCTGCCACGGTCGAGTCACAGTCCCTCTTTCCCATTGTATTGTGGTGTTAGATTTTTTTTTATAGTATAATCCGGTAACCGAGCAGACAGATCATCTGATGGTAAGCAATCGGCGCCGCCCATGGACACTCGAAACACCAAGGCGTTACAAGTGCGTTACCTGCCTTTTGGGAATTGGGAATTTGAGGATTGTGGAGGATTCGGGGATTCGGGAGATGGGGACTAGGGAGGGGGAAATTGGGCCTCAGGTAACCTCACTAACACGACGAAACACAACGCAAGCGTTGCTTCACGTCGGTTTTCTGTTAGATGTTGTCAAAATTAAATCATAAATCTTAATTAGACCAATAAAGGCACATCTGAACATCAAACAAAATATTTAAAGTTAAAAAGTATCAGTCTATAAGGCAGTCCTCTAGTGAAGGTGTTTGCTAATTCCAAAGTGTAAATACTTATCAAGAAGAACAAGTAAGAAACTCCATGGTTAGGTACACTTTCTCAGTTCCACAAGTAGAGTTACCTTTATGGTATGTTTACAAACATTTCACAGTGATCTTGGCCTAAGTGTAGATGTAGATTTTTGATACATTTCTTATAGAGCTTACTTCCCTGCGCTAAATCTACCCACATATGGGTTGTTGAGTTGAGACTAGCTGTAATGTAAGGCTTCACTTTCGATGCATTTATTGTGTATTCGGATTTGATATTTGTTTTGTAATCGTTTGATTGGATTTTATAAAATACTTAAATATTTGACAGATTAAACTCTGCTAAACGGCGGCCTGTGGTTTCTGCCTACCCTACCCAACAAAGGCGTGACTTTATTTGTCTGTATAACGCAGATAGAAAGTACTTTTTCTAATTTACAAAATCTAATCAAACGTTGAATTTATTCTTTTAGAAGATGTATTTGAAAAGTTGCTTTTCAAATACATCTCTAAGAAGGAATAATCGCATTTATGGTTTGCATTTGTTTATGGCGAAGGATTATATTACTGTGTAAAGAAAATTTAATCAATTGATTAAGCACTTTTTCTTGCATATATTTAGTATATACATTATTGTACCTTTGTATGTAAATACTAAATATATTTAATTAGAAGTTACTTAGCTATATTAATTAAGTATCTTTCTACTGGGTATCAGAGCTTGGGCTTGAAAATTATTTAGGTATTATTTCTCGTAATTGATTTTTAACATAATAGCTTGATTACTTTATTGGGTGCTTTCTCAAAGCTTTAATATTATAATAAAATCATGTAAACTAAAATAAGACTATTGTTCTCCTTATAAAAACTACTTACAAAAGCTACCTGTTTTCTTTTATCTCTTTCTCTATACAACAGTAAGAAAGAGACAGCAATAGTCTTAAGTTTAGTGGGTTATTGGTGAATTTGTATGTATAAACATTTACTGAGTTTATACTGAGTTGGATAATTTATTTCAGTCAGTACTGAGGTGGATGAGAAGCCAGCCATACCTGACATAAAACCTGACGTTTATGAAGATCTTGATGTTGTTAACTTACTGAAGACTGATCAACCTACCCTCATATTATTGCAGGTGAGAATGAATTGTGCACTTTTTGTGTAAGACTTTGAGTCGAATTTGCTGAAATCGGTGTTATTACCACGTATTTTTTTAAAGAAATAATTGGGTGAGTACTCTCCCAATTAATTTTTATTTAGAAACAATTAAAAGGTAAGTTTATTGTGTCAATTTCAATGAAATTTTGTATCGTGTTATACTCAGAACCCTAGGTATTTTACGTTGTTATTCATGACTATAATACTGTTTTAAGAAAAAGAAAATGAATGTTCACACTTTTAATAACCCTTCAAATTATAAAAAATATATAATATGTAGTCTATGTAACAACCATCCCAAGTAAAAAGTAATTCTGTAATTTAAATGTATCCTATGTTTGTATAGTTTGTAGCTTCAAGTTTGCCCCATTGTGTTTGCTAAGTAGATTTATGGTAATCAACGTCGTGAGGAGTGTATTTGTTAAATCTATTATTATACTCACCCGTGTTATATTTAATATACTGCTGTTTGTTGTCCTTGATAAATAAAATAAAAAAAAAACTATGCAATGGTAGATTTAATTTCAAACAATGTTCAAACACACAGTTGCCAGATACACTGCCAGGCCGCGGTGGCAGGATGGAGGATGACATGCCTCGACGAAGGGCTAATATGAACGAGGAGCCTTCCACATCCAGCGAAGATAAGGAGGAAAAACCAGTAAGTTATGGCTATAAAACTAATTTGTTACTCTGCACACACATGCCGTCCATGCCTGTCTCCCAAGGTGTACCTAGACGCTATGGGACACCTAATGACAGGTCTCTGCCATAGCACCTATGTCTTTCGCTCTATCTAGATACAAACTATTTCCATGCAAACTTGTCGATTACGATTTATTGACTTATACAATGACCTTGACTACTTTCTTAGAACATTGAATATAAAAAATAAGTAACAATTTGTGTAAAAATATTTCCACATTTGTCAGGTGTGGGGTTCGAACCCACGCTCCCTCTCGGGAACCAGAACTTAAACCTGGCGCCTTAGACCACTCGGCCAACCTGACTTGTAATCCATTGTTGAAACAACAATAGCCTATCAAGGAATGACGCACGATGCACGAAATATTGTGAAACTGATTCACTTCAATAACGACTAATCAGTCATTATAAATGAATAATAGATTTGATGTTTCCCTTATCAGTGATAAAGTACTGTTTTGGTGCTATGCTATTATGCTAAGTGTGGTTTTCACCAAGGGGTAAGTAGTAGGTAGATATACTTAAGTGCATTCCGTCTTCATCGAATTTTCTCGTTATAAATGTCGAGGCTCTGGTTTTGCGGGTGGCCAAGAGCAGCGCGCGGCGCTATATGCTTACCAGCAAGCGACCCCTCTGATTTAAAATTTAGCCTGTAATAAAAATACTCCTTACCAATGGTCTTTGTAAGATCGCTGGTTAAGAAAATGTAATACATATTATGTGTAAACAAGTTGCATGAATTTAAAGGAAGCTAAAAAGTTTGTAGATAAGCTTACTGTTTCCGTATGTAGGTAATCATAATAATCAATCCGTTTGCGTCAACTGCTGAATAGAGGACTCTTTAATAGATGCGCAACTAAGCTGTATTCAGCTCTTTGTCCTGCCGCTCCTGCATAGCACCTTTTTTATGAGTCCCATGTTATAGGAGTGAGCCTATTGCCATATACCGGGCACATTTCATGACTCCGTGCTACTACCGAGAATATTTAAAAACCCTGGTTATACTTTGCCCGACCCGGGAATTAAACCCGAAACCCCTTGCCTGGCAGTCGCACTTGAGATCACTCGGCCAAACAAGCAGTTATACAATACAATATTTTTATGAAATAGATAACAAATAATACTGGGTTTTAAATTATTACTGGGTTTTAAATATTCTCAGTAGTAGCACGGAGTCTGGAATTGTGCCCGGTATATGGCAATAGGCTCACCCCCTATTACATGGGACTCATAACATAAATAGTGAAAAGTGGGTGTTACATTGTACAGTGGTATAATGTGCACCTCTGCCTACCCCTTCGGGGATAAAAGGCGTGATGTTATGTTATGTTATAACAAATAAGTAGACTAATCAGCACACGGAAACAACATCAGAAAAGTCACCCTAATTTATGTGCACTGTATACTTGTAAATACTTAATTGGAATCTGTGTCTGTACAGGTAGACAACAGATGTCGGCTGGCAGACTTAGAAGAGGGTCGTATTGGCAAACTTCGAGTGCATCGCTCTGGACGAGTCAGCCTAGCACTTGGGGACACCATGTTTGAGGTGAGTAGCGATCTTGACTGTGTATAATATAATAATGTAGATTGAATATCTAATATCTAATATAAACGCCTTCCTATTACATATGAAAAAAAATATATTGAAAGTTCGGCTCACCCCCTATTACATGGGGTCTCGAGGTGGATTCCTGGGTCGGGCAAAGTAATACTGAGTTTTAAATAAATCTCAGTAGCACGGAGTTTCCGATTGTGGTGGGTATATGGCAATAGGCTCGCCCCCTATTACATGGGACTCATAACATAAATAGTGAAAAGTAGGTGTTACATTGTACAGTGGCATTAAGTGCCGTAATGTGCACCTCTGCCTACCCCCTCGGGGATATAAAGGCGTGATGTTATGTTTATGATATTGAAAGTACTTTCTGTTTTTTTACTAGAATGTGTTGATCTCTGAAACTTTTGTGTACTTCAGTCAGTCCCTTCTTTAAACCCCTAAAGGGGTAGGTAGGAATGTACATATTAAATCTTTTTGCCAGTTATTAGTGCCATGATGTAGCTGGAGAGCCTGTAGCCATGCAACTTCTTGAATATTTACTTACTCGACCAGGGAATCGAACCTCACACCTCTCGATCAGTAATTGCGATCGCCAAAACTCATCAAGGAGATTTTACATTTACAGGTATGCTTAGGCACGAAGGCAGCGTTCCACCAAGAAGTTGTGTCAGTGGCTACAGATGAGGCATCCCGTTCAGCCAACCTGGTGTCTCTCGGCTCCTTGCAGCACAAGCTCAACCTCGTCCCCAATTGGGAGACCATGTTTCAAGATATGTCTGTATAGTTTTAATGATTAAATGTTAATACATATTTATATTTTACGTTGTGTTTTTCTTTCTGTGAAAAGTATTTAGCTACAAGATGTTTATTGACTTGCATTGTCGTAATCCATCAGTCTAACACATGAATACTGAAAGGCTATTCAGTTTTAAGTTGTAATTAAATATCGTGCCATCTCTATTTTACAGAGAATTCGTAGTGACCGAACTATATTTAAATGCGTCTTAAAATTCAGTCTTTGGAAATAAGATATTATATGCATCTGTTAGCAGATAAAGATACATAAAAAAATTCAGTTTTGAAAAAATCTGTTGATGTGTGTGTATTAGTTCAGACAGGGACCAGGACAGAATCTATGTAGTTACACATTTATATTCTCAATGAAGATGAAAAATAAACACAAATTCTTAAATAATATACTTTATTGTACCTAAGTTATTTACAATACAAACTATGCTTTATGTCCTAAGCAGTAGCACTGGCAGAAGATGCAGCCTCCTTTGGTTTAGTTATCTGTGTGTCTCTGCCTAAATACTTGTTTCCTTTAAGGTCTATGGCAAAGTTATAGTCTGCGGGGTTTGCTAGAGCATGCTCTATGGCTGCATCCAGATTTTCCGGAGTTATAAATGTTGAACTCAGTTCCTGTAATAAATATTGTTGTTTTACTTAAACGTATTAAACAATCTTTTCCTGAATAAGAATACCTCATTATTAGTTTCGCTTAAGGTAATTTTAAACCGCAGAAAGACTTTCAAAGTACAGGCAATGATTTAAAAATCTATTGGATACAGTATATAAACAAGATTGAAAAAAAATGCAATTAGAAAGCAAAACTGTCTGCATGTAAATATAACAAGCAAATATACAAGATGTTTATTTACCTTCTGTCGCTTGATTTCTTCCGAAGCTTTCGCGATAACCTTCGCCCGTTTTTCATCAATAGCTTGCATCCTCTTGAGAGCATATGTCTCAAGTTGGTTCACCTCCACTTTCCTGCGCTCCTCTCGTTCTATTGCGACCTGAGCATTCCACTTCTCGTTTAATTCAACGCACCGAGCCCACTCCTCGGCCTCCAAGCGCTGAGACATCTCCGAACTGGCACTCTCCCGTGTTTGTTTTTCTTTGATCATCTCCTCGTGATAGAACCTCCTGATAGCCCGCATCTGAGTTTTATAGTTATTATGCAGCCGTAAAAGCTCTAAACGCTCTTCTTCTGACACCACAGGACGTTTGGGTACACGAAATATCTTACTTTTAGCGACTGGAACCCATCGAGGTTTTCTATGTGCTTCCGCATATTGTACCACCATTGGCCAAGTACGTTTCAGCAAGGAGTTTTGGGATAACATTGTATACGGTCTACTTTCTTTTACTAATTAGACTTGTTTATTAAAGTTTTTTAGGAAAACCAACACAATTACCTAACCTCAAAATTCATGTATTTTGAGTTTTGACTTTTGAGATGTCATAAATGTCAAACAGTCGAATTAATTGCTGCGTTGAGCGTTTTGAGTTTGTTTACGTTACAATTTACTTATATGCAAGAATCCTCTAATCATTTATTTTAAAAATATTAAATTAAACAATAAAACCAACAAAGGGAACACTAATATAATTTTTTCCATATTTTGCGTTTGAAATAATTTGTTTTGTTTCCGAACTTTATCGCGAGACTGTATTTCAATAACAATGACTCTAAATGTCAAATAGGAACCTGTCAAACTCGTATCAAAGAAGAAGCAAGCCGGGTGTTTCTTTATTGTTTATTTATCAAAAAGCCATTAAATAAGGGATCAAAAATGATAAAAATATCTGCCTTGAACGAAGAATCGGAAGAGGAAAGTGGATCCGAGGAAGAAGTCACAAGAGAAGCGTCTGAACAGATAGCATTGCAACAGTATGCAAACGCACTCGAACTTCAAAGAAAAGGTAATCTTAAGGAAGCCACTCAGTTACTAAGAGATCTACTTGATACAGAACTATTGTACGAAGTTCAAAAACCCGCGCAAGGTGAGAAAGTACCTGGTCCCTTGTTTAATTTAAAGTATTTGTCGTATAAAAATCTGGCGGCTATACTGACCGCATCAGATGAACTAGACGCGGCTATCGAGGCGTATTGCGCTGCAGCTGAGCTAGACGACACTGATGTCACTCTATGGCACCGACTTGGTCAGCTTTGTATGCGCACTAAACGTTATGAAATGGCGCTCCATGCTTTTCAACGCGGCGCTGAACGTAATCCTCGCCATTGGCCTTGTCTAGATAAGATCGTCACACTCTTACTCGGCCTAGATTACAAGGAGGAATGTATTTCTACCATTCATGACACCCTACAGTTGGATCCCGGGTACTTGCGTGGTTTAGCCTATAGAAAACATATTTACACTGTGTATCCTTACATAAAAGACTTTATGGAATATCTGAACCCTATTTACAAATGGGATGAAAAAGATGATGAACCAATTGATGAGGAAAAGGCTAAGAAACTCATAAATGAAGCAGAAACTATCCATGACACATTTATTGAGCAACAGAGAGCTGAGGAGTTTAAATATGTCCTTCCTGAATTGAAATTAGTCAAACCTGTAAGCAGTTTAAGTTGGAAATCAGTTGGAGATTCCTTGGTTCATATGCATCACTATATGTCAGAGAATTGTTACAGTCATGCATGTAAAATATTAATGGTTTTTGAAAAAGAAGATAAACAAGAACCTGTAGAGGTGTGTGAGGAGCCAATGGAAGTAGAACAGAAACCTGAAGAAAATAAAGTAGAAGAAGCCGTGTTAGAGCTAGAAAAGAATGTTGAAAATGTCTCAGAGAATGAAAACAATGATCTATCAGACAAAGATAAAACTGCCACTGACACAGAGAAAGTTGAGAGTGATGTTGAAATGGCGACAGAAAATGTAGAGAACCCTGTTGATAATAAACAACAAAAGAAAGCTCCAGTGAGAAGAAGAGGCAGTGCACTAAGTTTCCTAGGAATGTGGGAGTGGTGTAAGCGAAGATCTGGACGAAAAAAGCCTACAAATAAACAAGAACAGGATGACAATATCTATGAAACTCTTAGAAGAATGGTACCAATTTCATTAGTTCCAGAGTTGGTTGAGAAAAAAGAAAACCAAGCTCGAGAAACATCCCCAGATGTATCAGACCTTGATAAACTATTTGAGGGAAAAGACAAACCTGAAGAACCTGAAATCACATATTTTGGATCTGAAGATGAACAGAAAGATGTTAAGAACTTCATTAATCAATACACAGAACAGAAAAAGGATATAATTGATATTTTAAACGATTTCCTGAATATTTTGGGATGTAAGTGGAGAGAGAAATGGCCCAAGGGACTCTCAGAAGTGTTTATTGAAGCCAACAAGTGCTATCTTAACCACATTGATATTCCTACATGTACCAGTGATAATGATGATGAATTAGTACATTTCACAACTGTTAACATCTTAGCAGAAGAGTTCTTAGTAAATGAAAAGTTGAACAAATCTCCAGAAGAAGAAGAAAAACATGAATTGAGTGTGATTGAAACTATAGGTATTATATTGAGTGTAAAGCCAAACATTTTCAAAACTACTGACTGTTTAGATTTTACACTTCGCTATCTCTGGGTGAAACTACACATTCAACTTTTGAATAAATGTAATGAGTTTGCTCTGGACTGTCTGTATCAACTTGTGTGTGAATTTGAAGCCATGGGTGAACACCATGATACCTACAATCTTGATATACTCAACTTCACCCATAAACCAAAAATTAATGAAAGTGAGGTCTTAGCTGCAATAAAGGACCTCGAGAGAAATGAGAAACTTTCAACTGTTATAGAATTATATGACAAAGGGGACTATGAAGAAGTATTATCTATAGTGATTGACAGTTTTGAACACTGCAAAACAATGGCTAAAGTTGAAGAACAAGTGGCTTTAGACTTTGCAGTACATTTGGCAGTAATACTGGACACCTATTGGGCCTTAGACAGGGCAGATGAATGTTTCAAGTGGTCTCTCATTTGTCTACACGAAGCTCTAAATCACTACTTTAGATTTACGACAGGATCTCCAGATTATGATAAGTGGACCCTCACAGTTGTTAAGATACTCTGTTGTATGGACCACATACTAACAACAGAAGGTTTGACATGTCTGGACACAGTGTCGCAGAAGGAGCTGAGTCAGGGTCTAGAAGATCTCATCAGAGTAATTGGACATCAGGTGGAGACAAATGCTTCTGAAATGCCTTTCGGTACTGTAATCCCGTGGATCATAGTACACTACATATTACAAAGAGAGGAGGACCAAGGAAGAGCAAGAATAGATAACGACAAAGCTGCGAGTGATGAAGATGTTCCTAACCCATTATTGGTATTATTCATTGCACATGAACAACTGGGGAAGAGAGGCTGGTGTTGTAAGTCTGAAGGCAAACTGCTGTACTTTACCTTAGACACAGTAGTTCCAAGGTTGCGATCACCATCGTTGGCTAAATCTCTAGAGCAGGTTGTGCAATATATGGAGCAGTGTGTGTTTTGTTTGTTTGGGCATCCTGGAAAGAAAAACAAATTGAAATACCTTGTAGATCATAATGTACCACCATATACTCTAGATTGGAAGAGAGCGCAGCAGTTGTATGAGATATTCAGACCTCCAACATTGCCGGCACTGGAGGGCAAGTTGCCCGGCATCAGTGCTGACACTGAGCAGTTATTCCATAAAATACTTGCTCTGCTTCCCCCGGAATGTGATCCTCAGAAATACCTTCCAGACATCGAGAGATACATTAAAGGTTTGGACGATAAAATGCCTCACGCTCCATCTCTACTACCGTATAAAATGAAGGATATTTACTTTTTGTTGGGAGACTATTATTACAAAAGAGAAGAAGGCAAGTTAGGAATAAAGTTTAACATGCTAGACATTGCTCTGAATAACGACAGAGTAGAATCATGGGCACGTATATCTCTCGCTAAAAGTGTAAATTTAGAAAGAATGTTGAATTCCTGTAAAAATCTCAATCATGAAAGAGAATTTCTAAACCCCGCAAAATCAGTGATACGATGTTACAAGAGATGTATGGAGCTGGATCCTACCAACTGTGATATGTGGACAGAATATGGCATGTTCGCGTATTACGTACACTCGTTCTGTTCTCGAGTCCTGAAACAAGCGAGTGAATCTCTAAGCATGGAAGATTTTGAGTCTTTAGAAAAACTGAAGGAAGACATGTTAGATATTACACATAAAAGCTTCATTACCGTGCAGAATCAACTTAACAATAGTTCGGAGTCCGACAAAATGAATGATGAGTCATGGCTACACTTCTATATGTTAGGGAAAGTGAGTGAGAAACGTAACAAGCCACCTTCAGTGTATTTAGATTACTATATGAAATCCGTAAAAAGTTTACAAGAAAGTAACGCAACGTATCCTTTGAAGATTAATTACAATACGCCAACACACTTATGTGTAGAAGTATTAGAGTTACACTATCGGATCCACGCATCTATATTGAAGTATATAGAACAACACGAGAGCAAACCAATCCCTGCATCAGTAGGCAAGGTACTCTCCACGTGTATTGAAGACTGGAAAAAAGGTCCGTTTACAAGAAAGCCTAAAAAGGACGGTCCTGTCGAAATGGAAACGAATACCGAACCCAAACCCGCGGAACCTGTTCACGCAGCTAATATTCTCAAACGGTCTATTAGCGACGCTGGTGAAGAAGAATCTCATGAGGCTAAAAGACTAAAGATGGAAGCAGCGGCAGCTAAAGTTAGGCGGTCAGCTTCGTATGACACTGAAAGAAAATCTAAAGAACCGATCAAACAGAGTTTAGAAGTCACTGAAACAAAAACAATTGAGACTACGGAGGAGAAGAAACAGGACGTTACTAGCGAGAATTTGCCACAGACTACTCTCCCGCCGCCACCAACACCAACAGAACCTACCAAAGAAGTAACACCTGAGATAGAAAAACATTCAGAAGAGAAAAAAGATGAAACGGATGGTGAGAAGAAGGAGGATAGTTCAAGTAGCACATCTTCTTCATCGTCGTCGTCAGATTCCAGTTCGAGTGAAACATCATCCGACAGCAGCAGTGACTCTACTACCGACAGTGACGCATCCAAGTCGTCGAATGACGCTAAACCAATGATAGATGATGAGATCATGAAGATAGTGTCGGCCTGTTTAGACGCGTTGGAAGATTGCGCCAGCCGGTTCCCACCACATTATAAGGCCATTTACAGACTCGCCCATTATCACTTTTATTATAAAAAGGGTAAAGATATCGAAAGATGTCGAGATCTTATGTTATCCTATTTCACTTCAAGATCTGGTCACAAAATGGGAGGGTTATTCAGTGAGAGGAAACCCTCTAACTTTTTTAATAATATATGGAGAATACAGATTGCAGAGGTTGACAGGCCAGGTAGCTTTACATTGCATATGAATCGATCTGTACTCCTCACAATGGAGATATTGAAAGAAATAGACGATCACAAAACACTTTTGGAACTCAGTATTGTTTTACAGAAGATACCAGAACTTGACAAAAAGTATGTGCGCGACTCTGATAGAGAGGAACTGTCTCAGCAAGCATTCTCACTGTGCATACAATCTTTGAAAGGACAACTGATCAAATTCAGCCAACAAGCTGATTTGAAGATCAACGAGGTGGAGAGGCAAGCACTCAACAGTTTTATGTTGGATATTTACAGAGCTTATTTAAAAGTCCAGAAACAACCGAATGCTAAACAATTCACGAACTTAATAGTTGAGGGTTACAAGTTGCTTAGAAATGATCCCATCCCGGAGAATATTAATGCAGTTGATTTAAGTTTGAAATACTGTCATAAGATGATTCTCAAAATTAAGAGTGACGCTATGATGGCTAGTGTGGATAAAAGTCAGAATGCTCAGAAGAAACAAGCTGCTAAGGCTGCTGTTGCCGAGACTTCAAAAGCTCCCGCTCCAAGCGTGCCAAGAGTTGAAAGTCTACCAAAGCCGGAGCAGAAAGCACCACCACCTTCAACTTCTACGGCGAGCTCGAGTTTACCAAAAATGTCGCCGCATGAAATGGCCGCCGCTTTCCAGAGCTACTTACCGATGTTGAACGACCCTGTACTGTCACAGCAGACGGCAGCCGCCTTGTCTTTGTCCTACTTATCGAACATGAGCGTTTTTAGCGCGTACCCGTCATTACAGAACACGTTACAGAATACTCTGCAGAATTCTTTCCAAGCCGAGTTCTACCGTCAATTCTTAGGGCAGAGCTTCCCGTCCTTTATGCCGCCTGCAAAGAAACAGAAACGTGGCCCGAAGCCGGGTTCCGTGCGGTCTACCAACCCACAGATGAAGACTTCCAAGTCGTTCACTGCGCCTACAATGCCTTCGACTAGTAAAGCTATTCCGACGCCCGTAATAAGTTCTTTGCAGAAGTCTAACTCTACACCCATGACTCCCAGTATGGGGTCAGTGCTGCAGAACTTGCCAGCCTCGATGTCGGCCAACCTAACTTCATTTCCGACTCACTCTTCGTCACACTCGACTCACTCTATGCCGGCGCAGGCGCACATGTCTACAGCGTCCACTGTGAACGCGGCGATACATACAAAGCCCCCGATGCCGCACCAGCAAGTCAGTCCGGGGAAGACTCTGCAAGAGAAACTGGCGGAGCGTCAGAAGCATCTCCCTATTTCTAAGAATCACGAGATCAATGCATCTATTAGTAAACTGCCTTCCTCTCTCACTATAACTAAGACCTCAGTACCTAAACCCGCGCCTAAGAAGCCGGAAGCTAAGAAACAGCTGCCGTTTACTGAGAGACCCAAACCCATCACGTCGGACGAGGTCATTGTACTCGATGATGATTAAATTATGATTATTTATATCTAAAGTAAAATTAGAGTTACAACTATATTATCAAACTATAGTCCTTTGATTCAATAAATGAAATACAATCAGTCAAACGTATTTTATATTTATTTCTTAAAAAATATTAATTATTTTACTATTTACAATGTTGTAGTTTTATGAAAATATATTTAGTTATATTGTTACATTATGTTACATTGCTCACGCAGTATTAAGTATTATCAGTGATTGTTGGTAGCATCCTTGTTACCTGCAGACATCAATATAAATGCTATAATTTATTTATTAACTCACTATTTATTATCCTGTCTTACAAAGGAGAGTAACATGGACTCATTCTTGCATTTCCTTTCCTTTTTGACTTTACCCTCAATTACTTAAAATTATTATTTATTTTAAATCTCCTTGCTTCACTTGTAAAGAATAAATTCATGACATTTGTGTATTTATTTTGATGGAATTACTGTTACTACATAACAACCCCAAAGATTAAAGCCATACTATGATATAAATGATTATTTTCAATAGTTGCACTATCGATAACTTGGTTCCAGTCACTAACTCAATTATATCGATATTTTGGCAACTTCATAACACATTTTTCACCACTACACTGGCGATATAATATGAGCTTACAGTCGTTTGACAGTCCCACTCCACTGCTGGACTATCTGCCTCCTCTACACAATCTCCACCAAGGCAGGCGGATCAAAGATGGTTCCGATCCTTACAGTAACCAGTTACCGTCTTAGCGAAGTTTCCGAACCATCTGATGGAAAATACACCCTATTCATAAGACTTTAGTGTATAATTTACAAGTGTCGCAATATATGTTGATCAGTGCAGCACCCTCATCATGTAGAAGTAGACGAGCATCTCGCTGAGGTTCCACCCAATCGCGAGGGTCGCCAGGTATGTGAGGAACAGGATCGGTAGGGGTAACAGGAACACGCGGGCGTTTTGCAGCATCGGGAGATCTGTTGGACAAAAGTATAGATATTGTTTGGTTGCAAACAAAGTGATATTTACCCTTTTTTTGGGGAATTTCTTGTGTGAAATGTAACATAAAACCGTCCATTGCTATTTTTCTTATGAGATCTATGTGGGAACAGCAGGACTGTATTGGCAAAAATGAAATTTTAAAAACCCATAGTTAGTAATTATTGTGAAGAATCCGGTAATCGACGAGTTTTGTTACGATTAATCGGTATAATTCGCCCCGAATAGAACGATTTCTCTTAAAAGTTGCATTGGTAGTCACAAATACAAAGCGAAAGCCAAAAAACGAATTTATTTAGTTTTATTCAAACAAAATAATTTCCCCACTGCAATAGTAAACTTACCCGAATCGACAACTTTTCCATAATCTGAAAGTCATTTTAGATTTTAGTGCAAATACGTATTTGCGGCTGTGCCATATATCTGGTGCAAAACAAAGTGTGGAGTCTGATACTTACTGCTATACCCTAAGAATGTGATGTAGAGGTAGTAAATGATGGACGCCAGCCAGAATGTGTTGGACACCAGACAGGATAGGAAACCATCACGGAACAAGATATCTGGAAAAAAACGATGCATTTTTGTCAGCTATGGTTCATGGACCTACTGGTATATTAAGCTATATGTACTGGTGATGCAACCGCGATCAGTTCTGCCTTAGGCAAAATGATAATGAAGTCGTGCAATTAATTTTGTGTATGGTTTCATTTCATTTTACTTTTCCTTAGAACCTGTTTCAAAGATCCACCAAGATATGTTTCTAGTTGGCAGATATTAAATTAGATATTTTTCATACAAACATTCATACATTAATTCTTCTGGTGGAGGTAAAGACTATAGAGACCGATTTTGATTTAACAGTTATCAGAAAATACTTACTTTCAAAGAAGACGATTTGGAAGAAGTGCAGCAGTGAGAGCGGCGGGAAGAACGCGTTGATGTGCACGTCGAACGCGTAGCCCCACTCCACGTCCGGCCCGTCCGGGTCCCGGCGCAAGTACGTGTTACTTACATACCTGGAAATATTTTTAAGTTAATGTACAAATGATTTAAGTTGGGGAGATGAATTTAATTTTGAAATAGTTTTCATAGTTCGTAATTACGACAAAATGAAAAACAATAATGGCAATGATACTACGTCCATACGGAAATTTAAACTAAGTCTGTAGTTGGAACTCTACTAATAAGTCTGTAAAGATGGCAGTAAAGATTTTTTCTAACATAAGAAGTTTAAAATTTTGCTGTAATTAAATTATAAAAACTATGAAGTACTTAATGTTAATATTCAGATACTAACCAAAAGATTGTAGACACAAGTATACCAGCTCCTATGAAGTCTACAAATACTACAAACAGTACAAACAGCGCCACTTTCCCTGCTGTCAGGCCCATCGCAAGGCCGAGGCATATTGAAGATACTGAAACACAACCAGTTTTCATACTGCAATTAAATGAACTAAAAAAATAGTAAATGAATGATATTTGAAAGGCAAAACTTATAAGTTCATTGTTCAGGAATTATTATCAAGGGTTTTATAGGGTGAAAATTATCTTTATTTTTTAGCTTGCCAAAAACAGTGAGTTAAGATGGGCTACTCTATAACAATTTGGTTTAGTGATTTAACTGATTAATACAGTATCAATACTCCTTCAGAATATTAAATAATGTAGTATTAATAATCATTTAGAATTTTTTAATAATGTAGTATTAATACTCCTTCAGAATTTTTAATAACATAGTATTAATAATCTTTTAGAATTTTTTAATAATGTAGTATTAATACTCCTTCAGAATTTTTAATAACATAGTATTAATAATCTTTTAGAATTTTTTAATAATGTAGTATTAATACTCCTTCAGAATTTTATATAATGTAGTATTAATATTCCTTCAGAATTTTTTATACTACAACTACATGTATGAAAGGGTTGTCTGATTTAAAATTTATATTATCTATTTATGGTTACAAAATAGTGAATGGTGTCATCCACTGAAGAGACTGATAGTTAAAAGATTGAAGATAAGATAGTACATACTGTGTGTTAGCAACTTAAGTAGCACTTCACTAATAATAATACAGTAACAGGTGTGTGGGATATAAAAATCTGACAATAACTTGTATAGTAAATAATAGGGGACAATGAAGGAAATTGAGAGGAATTTAGTTGGTACAGAAATTGCAAGGAATAAAATGAATAATGAAGATAAACTTGTCGAGAGGAAATAAACCAATGTATTGTACAGTCCTCTGTTTACTTTATATAGCCCGACAGAGCCTCCAAGCTTATTTTTAAAAGTATATGATAGTGATGATACTTACAGAATAACCATACACTAAGTAGAACTAGGAACGCCGGGTCATCTCTTGCAAACTGCGACTTTGTATCTGAAAGTAATAAGTTTCACGATTACAGCAAATTGTATTACACTTATGTTCTTTACTGTGTTTTTGAGATGTTTTTAAGGCATTGAAGCCATACAAATATATGTTTTTTATGATTATATAAATACTATCTGGTACTGAGCAAATAGTTAATTCAATTACTTATAACAAAGTTTACAAAGCTGCAATATTCTGACAGGAACCTTTAAATTCTCAACAGACCAATAAGAATACTGATCATTAAATTAAATTGTTAATAATAATGAGTACTTACGTTTTCTATAATTGAAATTCCTAAACACTTTCTGTGGTGACACAAACAGATACACCATTTGCCAGGCAGCAAACTCAAAATCCATCTGATTGAATTTGAACAGTCTTCTGATGTATTTGTAGCGCTTCACAGCCGCGCTGGCTGTCGTAGGCTGGTAATTAGCAGGCGCTGGTAACGGAGATGTACTCCTTGGGTAGTTACTCAGGCTCGGAGTAGGCGACGTCGAATACTTCATTTTGCACAAATTTTGTTACCAAAACTACCAAAATCACGACATTAAGGCTATTAATAAGGTTCAATATGTACTCTTAAATATTATTAAGGCCATATATTCGAGTTTAAATAATGTTTATTTATTTTATTCAAATAGATTGTAAAATTAGTCACAGCAGTAATCAGTAAACGTCAATTTATTTTGCCGAATTGTAAACGTCACTGTCATTTTTATGTTTACTCTGTCTAATGTACACAGACAAACAAGGACAGTACAACTTTCATGCTCAAGATACCAAATGTCACTCGTTATGACTGTATAAAGGTGACGTTTAACATTTTACGTTCGGAAATAAGATTTTTCTGCCGTCACCACTCGACACTGGCAGTATAGTCGACAACACTGTATTGGAGACTCCGTTGCAAAAAAAAAATCTAATCAGATTTGTTTCAAACGAGGAACGGATTGATCGGGAAGACAAGGAAGAGATTATGTAAGAAAGTTCATATGAATAAAACTTCTCGTCTGTGTTTAATTAGAGTAGACAGAAGCATACTTCCAAGCTCCAACTTCATCAACATTTTTAAGGAATGATAGAGGGTTGGGTAGTTATAACTGTTTTTGGAGCTTGCACCGCCATCTGCCTTTTGAAATTAGGTAAATATGAAATGAAAGAAAATATATTTTAAAATTGTATTTACTTAAAACTAACAGTCAGTAAACATTATCACAAAATATTTTATTAATTACAGATGATATCAATATTTTAAAGTTAACTTTAGCTTAGAAAAGACTTGATGACAAATAAAAATAAATTAAGTATGGTCTCAAATATTATAAATAAGTACCTATACCTAGTAATATGACAAACTTATGCTTCTACATCCTGTACTTCAGTACCTACTTCTATTGAATTAAATGGTAACATGAGAGACGGTAGTTAATAAATGTATACGTAAATACTATTTGAATTAGTACTTCTAAGTAGGTATCTTATAGATAAGATGAACATCAGCAGTAGACCATGTTATGTCAAAAAATAATTTGACTGTACTTCTTTCTTACAAATATTTCACTTACGTATGTATTTTTACAGTTTTTATTTTTCTAACTACATAATTTAGTTGAGAATATGACATTAATGGATTACACTGTATTTTGTTGCAACCAGTGTGTATAATGCGTCACTCTAGTGTACACGCCGGGGTATCCAGGCTCTCCGCATTTGTTTCCGAACGAAACCACTCCGATTTGAGTCCAACGACCCCCCACTTGCAGCATTAGCGGACCTCCCGAATCACCCTGGAAAAAGACATTAGTCTTTGTTTACAATTTATATTGAAGTTGAGTAAAATATTCAACGTAATATAAAATAAGACTTTTCTCCATAGAGTATTTTAAAATTGGCCTTTTATCGTCGAAAGGGTAGCAGAGGTGCACATTGTACAGTGGTATAATGTAACACCCACGTTTCACTATACGTGTTATGAGTCCCATGTAATACTGGGTGAGGCTTTTGCCATATACCGGATACATTTCCAGACTCCGTGCTACTACTTAGATTTTTAAAAAACCCAGTAATACTTTGCCCGATTCGGGAATCGAACCCGAGACTCCTTGCTCGGCAGTCGCACTTGCGACCTCTCGGCCAACGAGGCAGTCTCTTTACTGTACTCCTTTTTTAAAAGTCCGGTGACGGATTTTTGATTCTTCGTGTCTTGTAGATGCCCATAGCAGCGCTGATTGCTTACCATTGGTGATCCGTGTGCTCGTTTGCGATTAAAATCTATATAAAAAACATGCAGACAATAAAATACTTTACCTGACAAGCATCAATACCGCCTCTCGCGTAGCCAGCGCACAAGAACGTGTCAGTGATGGGCTGGAAGTACGCGCGGTTGCAGTCCTCGTTCCTCCACACCGGCAGCTTGGCCTCCAACTGTTTAGAGCTCTCTCCACCACCATACCGAGTTGTCCCCCAACCCACCACTGTGGCCACTGCCCCATCGAATGTCTGCCTTGTGAGCTCACCCCGCGGTATGCATATGGGAATCACGTATTTTGATTTCTGAACGTTTTCTGAAACATAATCGAAAGTTAGTGCAATTGTTTTTTATACAGAGAGATACGAACATAGCAATAAATGTTTAACCCGGGTTTCGTCAGTTTCCAGAACCTATGCTGTTATTGAGGATTAAAATTGTTCTCGTTTCGGAATTGAACCCTCACGTTGCTCCCTTTGCACAGACATACACGCATTCAACTCAAAGAGACAGATAATTGAAGTGTATAATTTTTGTTTAAGGCGATTTTTCTATTTTGTTAGTAAACCTACACTGTCTGAATGTGTTATAGGGACGTACTTAGCCATTTAAGACAAATTTGTGTTCTATACATTTTTCTAAATATACATTCTCAGTATGTATGTATGTGTATATGTATGCATGTTTATGTGTATGTATATGTACATGTATGTATATATTATTACTACGTTATTTTTTTTTTCTTAGTACACAACCCGTATAAATATTTCTTTTCATTATATCCACCCAAAGGTTGTCTGGTAGAAATCACTATAAGTGATAAGACCGCCTTTGTGCCCATTATTATTTTTATTTATATTCCTTTTCTGTATGTACTGTATTATTAATGGTGTACAATAAAGTTATATTCTATTCTATTCTATTCTCAAACTATTTCTAACAAATGTATGACAAGGGCACGGACCTAGAGTCTGTGGAGAATTAATCTGTAATATTATAAAAAAAAAACTTTATACAGTTCTGAAACCTTACCTGACAGAACCAGCACAGCAATATCGTTGTAGAAGCCGACCCTGGAGAACTGGTCGTGTGCCCGCACGGCGGTGACGCGCAACGTGACTGGACGGGACGGCTCGTCTTCACGTGCCAAGTCCACGTCTCCTAGACGCACGCTGAACTGACGAGCTGGGAATCTGAGGAGTACCGTCTTCAAGGTAAATTAATTTATTTTACCTAGGACATCTACGTATAACTACAAATTACTGTCACAGATTAGTTGGCCGCGTTATGGCGTATCATTAGGCGAGATGGTAATCTGACGCCGAGTTAACCAATCTACTACTCACTTATTAAAAACAATGCATGTTATTGTGACGTAGTTGATGAAAGCTTAACATGTTAATATGATATGTTTTAACGTTGATCATAGATTCAATCCTTACTTCCTTACTAATATTATAAATCGGAAAGTGAGTTTGTTTGTTTGTTCCGCTTTGACGCCGTAACTACTAAACCGATTGCTTTGAATTTTTGCAGACGTAAAGTTAGAAGTCTGGATTAAATAATAGAGTACTTTTTATCCCGGAAAAATTTGATATTCCCGAAAGGAAAACAAAAGTATTGGTATAGATGGCGCTGTGTGTATTGGTATATGCCACATAGGCTACTTTTTATCCTTTTGTGACGCGAGCGAAGCCGCGGGTGAAAGCTAGTAATAAATATAATAATTAATCAAATCATGTCTATTCGTTTAACCCTACTCTCCCCAAAGAACAGAAGTAGGAAGTAGGTTCCTTCCAATCTAAGTTAACTTTCTTGTTCTAATAAGTGACTGAAGATGAGTTTACTACCACCTTAAATAAAAACTTGTACAACATGGGGTACTCACGGTCGCTGCTTAGAGTCCCTGGTACAATGAGCAGCAGTGAGGATATGTCTCTTATTGACCAGGGTACCTCCGCACCAGAACTCCCGGCGCTTGCTGCCGTGCAGGTAGATCGCTGCCATCCACGGCCAGGCGCCAGGCTTAGCTTCTGTTCCTCCCACGATACGACCACCCTCGTCCTCGCGTTGACCACACTCTGGAATCAGGGGTTGACTATAGGTATTATTATTGACCTTCAGATTCTTACTACAGCTGTTTTTTTTTGAGGGAGAAAGTAGGAAAAGGAATTTCCTTGTGTGTTACTACTTGTTGTAAATTTGTTGATTGATAATGTCTATCTATATTGACGCATCAGTCAATATAGCCCCGATTGTAACATGTAGATTATTTAGGTATTAACATTAAAAGCTTTTTCAGTGAAATTTTTGCAAGTTGAGACTTTGGTAAATTTTTATAATAACTATCGTGAGACACCGCCGACCGCGCACGCTGCGGGGAAGAACCCATCTGTGGTTAGATACTAGTAGAGCTTTTTTCAGTATATTCACGTGAGTATCCCGCGATTTTTAGATGATTTAGACTTAGGTTAGTATGAGAAACTATTTTATTTATAAAAGTCATACTTTAGATACGTAGGTACTCTAAAATCTACCTAGATTGGTAGATATTTAAAGGAGAGACAATAAAGCTCGGTGTCCGAGGCTAATTAACTATACTTTAACTATTACTTGGATCGTATGGTTGGCTGGTAGAGAATGCCATTCGGCATTAAGTCCGCCATTGTATACATTTGTACATAAAGTGTTAAATAAATAAATAAACCAATTAATGTAAATTAAACATTCAAAACTATTTCAAATTATTGACATTAACGTAACTTCAATCAAGGCTCAAATGTATAAGTTCTTTTTTCTTAATAAGCTTCTAAAGCATTTTAATAAATGAATCATGTAACTTGTAATGAAGTTGTAGGTACCATACAACTGAGAGTCGGTAAAGGTTAGCCAATTAACGCTTCGCCTTAACAGTTTCAATTAATGTTAAAGAAATTACTAAGAAACTGCGACTAACTTACCTTTCGATCTTTAAGGCTCTGGCAAACAACCAAGTGATTTTTGGATTAAAATGTTGGCACACTTGCACGGCACATTGAACAGATTTGAACAGGTTTGAATTTGAATTTGAAGATTGTCTTTATAGCTCAGTTATAGGTAGATTACTAAAAGCTCAATTTAGCTTTCGTCTCGTCATCATAGTCGTGCAAGTAAACCAAATCATTTAAAATGAATATCTTACCCTCAATATCAACAATGTTGGAGAAATTAGTGATAACAGGAGGCGTGACAGTGTAGTATGAGGTAGTGGGCAGTGTT